AAAAACGAAAAAAGCAGTAATACCTGAACAAAATGGTATTCCTTATTGATCTTTAAATAGCTTTTTCATAAAACTCAAACTTTTATACTCCTTAGATAATTCGTCTAAATATTTAAGCAAATAAGTTGAAATAATTCCCACATTTAGCAAGAGTAAAGCTGTATGTGGTACGTTTCTGACATTTGTTTTGTTTTGTTCAGTCTGTGGTTTGGGTTTGAGCGTGTACTTTGGATTAGTTGGCAAATTTGCAAATGTTTTTATCAAAATGCATCAATACCAAATACATGTTAAGCACTTAACCTTTCACTTGGCGAAATTTACATACAGTTGTAAATATAAAAAAATCAACACATTAAACTTTCTTAGAGAAATCATTTGGAAATTTCAGTATTTCGGAATCATCATTGTTTCTTGAGGGACTTCGTGGATCACGCTTACCAATGATTATACATCCCTACGAACATAAAACTATATCATTGTATTGGTTAATTGATCTTCTAAAAATACGACGTATCCATGACCATGAAGACCAGGTCTTCCAACAATCTGTTGGAATTCTAATTGGCACTAATTATGCTTCTTTATCAGCCAACCTTTCAGTTATTTTTTGAAGCAGATTTTGTTCAGTGACTTCTACATGAAAAGAAGAAAACTCTTGGTGTCACCTTCAATTTGACATTGAGATAATATCAAGGTTGTTTTATCAATTAACACTAGTTACATGTATGTGCTTTTAAATACTGATACGGCTTAATAATTCAGTTAACCAGAACTTGAATTGTAGCACATTTACAGCTCTGTCCTGCAGCTGGAAAAATAAAGAGTTTTTGAATAGATCATTTATTAAACATGCCAAATGGAATTAAAATTTAAGTAAAACTAGATTGCAGAAAAAAGATGGTGCCCAATAATATCCAATGCCTTTCACAACAGAAACTAGTATCTACAATAACAACAAAGAAAACTACTATGCAAAAATTACTTCAAATAGCATGGGAATAGAGGGGAAGGAGGTGGGGAAAATCTGCAGACAACAACTTTCTGTTCGGAGCCAAAAGTTAAATTTAACCGGGATTAGGCTAATAGCCATGACTGGATAGTGTTTAATATACTAAACCCCGAAAAACCCTCTAGACCCAAACAATCATTCAATATATATAATAAGAACAAATACATGTTCACATTACTTCATTTATATACATAGATGCTCTTATTTTTATTCATTTGACGACCCATTATATTCAAGTGAACTCGAAATTAAAAACACATCAGAGTATGCCTTATCTTTTTCATATCTGAATGTTTAACTGACTATAAATGTTAATGACCAACTTACGTCTTAACTATTTGACAAACGGGATGACTTAAGCTCTTCATTCACCACCTCCCTTTATTAATGCAGTAATATTCCACTATCACCTGCATAAAATGTTATGTCTCCCAGCTAATTCGGTACAAATGAGCATGTTGTGAGTAAAATAATATTTGATAAGAGACCAGCCACTGACAAATAAATTGATGGTACAGGGCTTTGAACAATCTTCTTTCGCAATTTCTATGGTCATTATTGAGTTGTCCTACCTCTGATGTTTCCAGGGGTCATGAGTTTTTGCCCTGTAGACGATTCGCATCGTTTATAGGATTAATGAGATTTATCACTTCGGTTTTTCGCTCCATTATATGTTTAAGTGCATTTAAGTGCAACTAAACTTTATGAAATATTGGTTCAAGGTGTTTTAATTTCAAATCGCAGTTGGAAGAAAAAGAATGATATTACTGAATGAAATAAATATGTCGTGCTTAAACTGGGCAAGTACATCAGAGATATTTGCCCTCGGACTGTGTAAAATAGGACTCTGATATAATGCTTTTCAATTTTTGTGAAATATCATAAAGAGGTGTAATGCATGTCAATCTCTTAGAATTGACTACCACTGTCTACAGTTTAAAAATAGCTTATTTTATTGACGTTTGATTGATAGTGATATGTACAGATATATTAATCTATGCAATTGAAATTAATATTCATATCACTATTATAAAAACAATCCAAGAACCTATTATAAGGAATGATGCAAGCGTATAACATTTTCATTTATTTTTTTTCTGTTTGCTTTATTTTTTTCCCTTTTTTAATATTTCATAGTGTATTAAATATTTTGCAGTATCTATCAGTGCTTTATTGTGAATAAGGTTTATACAGATGGCTGTGATAGATAAATTTATTTTTCTCTATTGTTGCCAGCTATCTGGTTGACTCAAACTAGATCACATGATCAAGTATAAAAAGTCTTATAAACTGGGTGTTTCTATTTTAAGCTTCTAATAAAAGTTTATAAAACTGGTGTTAACGTTCTTCTGGGAAGCAACAATAGTGCTAACGTCACAATAGTCTTTATAAACTGGATGATTCTAAAAACAGATACTTCAGCTGCTATTCGTAACTGTGACGTCATAATGCGAATGACATAAAAATGCCTTATAAGAAAGTATTGAGTATAAGAAACATGGATTTTAAGCCATTTCTTATTAACTGACAAAGTAATATTAAAACAATTGTAGCCTTTTGTTTCTGTACAATCCCTGGATATATAGACCTTAGAGAAAGCATATCAACCTCGCACTTCGCGCTCGGTCGATATGCTTTCTTCAAGGCCTATATATCTAGGGATTGACCTCATCAAAAGGCTATAATTGTATAGTATGAATTGAAGGAAGAATGATATGTTCTATGTTTAAACAATGCCAATAATTTGTTAGTTTTTATTTTATCAGATGAATCGTATTGTCACATTATCGTAGAACAGAACAGTGACATTGAGTAAAGTGTATGCTTATAAAGCATGCTGGTATGCATAGATCTATGCATATATAGAGGGTAGGACCATCTTTTAGGGTATGGAGTCGGGCTTGAAAGGTTTACTACATTTCACGCTGAGAACATCGCGATAAAACTTATTCATTTTATTTAAAATATATACATTTTTCGTGTTTATTTGTTCCTTCAATAATTTAGATTTTAATTGCGTCTTTGCACGGTAATAACCGATAGACTTTTCGAATGGTTATCGTTCTCTAAATCGTAGTCAGCATTTTTTTCTTATTTTTGATATTTGAGTAGATATAGGTGCAAGAAACAAATGCGATATCTCTTAACTCTGTTCACAAAACCTTGTAAGATACAATTGCAATTTGGTTCACAGTGTAGTAAAAACATCCAATCGAAGTTCTTTTCGTTAACAGGCGAAATTCAGTGGTATTAACGATTTTCCCATTTGTAATAATTATTAAACTTTTGTTATCCGGACCGGGTTCTCAATAACACCACGATGAATCTTATGAAATATTTAAGCCTTTTTCAATTCAACATTCTATTTTTGGACAACTTGATTTATAAACGCAGTGACTTCGATTTCTCATTTTTTTTTTTCTAACCAATTTGTCGTGTCCTTAAATCAAGACTTGTCGATACAGGAATGTTCAATTTCCTATCGAAATTTAATTGAATGCAGTACCATTTGTGTTTGTTGTACAACTTAATAATACATATGCTGACACTTGTAAGATTTGACGTAATCACTCAGAGGAAATATTTATAGTGTTATTTTTTAATCAGCTGACATTTTCAAATCCTTTGAATTTTTCAAATGCATTCATCTATATATAATTCTCAATACAAGGGAAAGATGTGTTATCCTTTTCTTAAAACATAGTATGGCTTTCATATTCTTTGAAAATTTGTTGAAAGCTTTTTCAGACCTTTATTTATATAAAAAGAGAATTATTGATGACTATTCTCGGTTATATTGCTTAAAGAGGTCAATTAAATATTAATTCATTACAGTTACTAATCATTAAAAAGATTTCTGAATTTAGAAAGAGCAGTGTTGACTTTTTTGTTAATATTTTGAATAATATTTCATCACAGTATGTACATGTATAAATATCTCAAATACACAACATCATGAATCAAAACTAATGTATCTGGAATTATCAAAATATCATAAAGGATTAGGAATCAGTCATATGTCAGATGACGTGGCGAACATTCAAATTAAATCTATATCGATAAGGTACATGTAGATGGACAAAGGCATGGGAAAGTTGATAAACCAAACTAATTAGTCACTAAGTATTTTTTTGTGAAGTACGCAAACCTATTTTATTAATCACGTGTATTTGTAACATTGTAGTAAAAAGAATTGAGTGCAATTGTTCGTTTGCTTTCCCCCCTTTTTGTATATATATGAGGATGATAACCTATCTGAAAATGTTAACATTCAAGAATTAGCAACGGAGCCCCTTATACAGATTATCACTTGATCTCATGTCCTATATATACAGCGAAAATTAGAGACTTATTCTACAGAAGTAAGCAAAAGTGAATGAAATTAGAAAGTGAGATTAGATGATTTCTTAAAAAGTGACTACATTTACCTACTTTCCAAATATTACTGTTACGTATGATTCAATGAATTTGATCTTGCCTCTAGATTACATATAATTTTTGTAGAATATAATAGTAATTTCTACTTTACTTCCATGAAATACATATACAGTACCAATTTTGATACACCAGATGCGCATTTTGACAAATTATATCTCTTCAGTGATGCTCATGCCGAAACGTTGGAAATCCAAAATATCTTAATAAAAAATACTTTGAAGAGCTGAAAAATGTGACAAAGACTGGAGCCAAATACGTCAAAGGATCAGAGTTATGTTTGAGGGAGATGATCCTTAATTTTGAAATAAATTTCTAAATTTTACCACAGCAATAAAATATATATCCGTATTTTCAAGCTAGTACCGAAGTACGTGGCTACTATGCTATAGAGACCTTCGGGGACTAACGGTCCACAAGCAGAGGCTTTGACAAAGGTGTCATAATGTAAATCATATACGGTACCAATTTTGATGCACCATATGCGCATTTTGACAAATTATGTCTCTTCAGTGATGCTCCATGTGAATAATCAGTGAATGAATTTTTTTTTCAGATACCCCAAATAAGTTATGCATCTACAAGCATTGATCTAAGCGACAAGTCAAGATTTGAGTATTTCTCACGAGTTGTGCCCCCTGATACTTTTCAAGCCCAGGCTATGGTGGATATAGCGAAGGCATTCGGCTGGAATTACGTCAGTACACTGGCTGATGAAGGGGACTACGGTGTGAAGGGAATAGGAGCTTTTAAAGAAAGATCTACAGAAGCGGGTATGAGTCATTACCTCTCTATCAAACCTTAAAATCTTTTTAGGAAAAACATATCAATCGTTAATAATTAATATGGGTCAATTCAAACATTGAATAAAAATATTATGGACCCTTCACATTTGCAATTTTTTATGAATTATTTCTTTTTTTAAATACCAAAGTTTTTCTGAAACTTTGCATATTATGTCCAAAAATATGTATAGATAAACAGATTTTGGAGCTTAAAAGTCGTAAACATTATACCATTACTTAATTGTGCCTTGGAGAAAAATGCTTTTAAAATATGTAAATGACAGCTCAGGAACACGATTTTAGAAGCCTTGTTTCAGCACTTGAGACTAACATGCCTCCTGATTCAGCACGAAGAGCCATGCCAGAGTGGAAAGTTGTTTCTTCGTGTTTTTGAAATGTGGTTTTACAAGAATTGTTATGGTTATATTTATACTTGTTTTACGTGTTTGCAAGTGCATGAAATCCTAGAAACTGTCAAAACATATTCATTGGTATTGGAAAACATTATAAGTTCTGAATGAAGTTATAAACACGAGGAAAAAATAACCATAAAAATAAAAATATATCGGCAAATTTTCTTATTCTTAACGTTTCTGTGAGAGCAATCATGTTTCGGGGATGATGGAGGGGGACTGAACCTAATTTTTATGATCAATGGCGTGTCTTTATAAATTTAATTCTATATATATGATAAAGTTTAATCCTCTCATCAAACGTCACTTTCAAGGATTGTTTTAAAGACAAGTACATGTAAGTTACTACTTTTTTTAACAATGATTTTTTATTTCCATGTTTTGATCCTCTGGCATGTTAAAGTTCTGAAAGAAAGCATAGCAATAATAATAATATGGAGATGAACAATATTGATATGTATAGGAGAGAGAGAGAGAGAGAGAGGGAGAGAGAGAGAGAAGCCCGAGGTTGTTTTGGTGTTTTAATGACGGATTTTCCATTACATCATATCAATCGTTTCTTCTTTGATTTTCTTTTTATTTTATCTTAAAATTTTTTTTTGACATTGATTAAAAAAAACGATCCGTAGCACAAGAGTGAAGTTCTTAAGAGCACTGAAATTCTTGCATCACAAGTTGAAATATGCATGATTAAAACAACACATTATGTGCAAGTGGAAGACGTAACATCGCTGTTAACTTTGGTAAATTGTGCGTTTGAATTCTATTATCAATCTTCTGTGTCTCCAGGATTCCAGCAAATCTTATTTATTATTCATTAGCCGATGTAATTGGGTGTGTTGTAAATGTCACATCTTTCTGGATGAATTTCTCTCTCTTCTGATTCGATTACTGGTCTATTAGCGCCAGAAAAATGGGTGATTAAGAAATCAGGGGATTTTAATGTAAGTAAGCTTCGTGAGAATACACTAAACTTTTTAACCCTGAATTTTTCAGAATAAGAGATGTTGCATAGAGATATATAAATCTATTATAGTAACTGTTAAAATTCTGTAACAAGTAATGGGAAGATTTTCTTGAAAGTTTTTTTTCCAGCTCAAAATTCTATAGCAATTTGAAATTAAAGGTGCTTGTAAGAATTGAAATAATTCATAATTCATGAGAAAGGATTGCTACTGCTCGACAATGAAACGAACCTTTTTATCTACAGTTGATATATAACAAGCGTCTTTGTCTATTGTTATTAAATGACAAGCTTCTTTGTCTACAGTTATTAAATGACAAGTTTTTTGTCAGTTGTCATTATATGACAAGCTTCTTTTTCTATTGTTATTATATGACAAGCTTCTTTGTCTACAGTTATTAAATGACAAGCTTCTTTGTCTATTGTTATTATTTGACAAACTTCTTTGTCTATAGATGTTATATGACAAGCTTCTTTGTCTATAGTTGTTATATGACAAGCTTCTTTGTCTACAGTTATTACATGACAAGCTTCTTTGTCTACAGTTATTATATGACAAGCTTTTTTGTCTTTTGTTATTGTATGACACGTTTCTTTGTCTATAGTTGTTATATGACAAGCTTCTCTGTCTACAGTTATTAAATGACAAGCTCCTTTGTCTATAGTTTCTATATGACAAGCTTCTCTGTCTACAATTATTAAATGACAAGCTTCTTGGTCTATAGCTGTCATATGACAAGCTTCTTTGTCTACAGTTACTATATGACAAGCTTCTTTGTCTCCAGTTATTAAATGACAAGCTTCTGTGTCTATAGTTGTTATATGACAATCTTTTCTGTCTACAGTTATTAAAAGACAAGCTTATTTGTCTATAGATGTTAAATGACAAGCTTTTCTGTCTACAGTTATTAAAAGACAAGCTTATTTGTCTATAGATGTTAAATGACAAGCTTTTCTGTCTACAGTTATTAAATGACATGCTTCTTTGTCTATTGTTATTGTATGAAAAGCTTCTTTGTCTACAGGTATTAAATGACAAGCTTCTTTGTCTATAGTTGTTATTTGACAAGCTTCTTTGTCTACAGTTACATTGTACTGTATGACAAGCTTCTTTGTCTACAGTAATTACAAGCTTCTTTGTCTATTGTTATTGTATGACACGCTTCTTTTTTTTTTTTTTATTAAGTGATAATCTTCTTTATAGTTATTATTTGACAAACTTAATTAATTGTATCTAGTTATTCTTATTTGTAACATCTTGGGCACTGTGAGATTAAACTCTTTATTATATTATTTGAAGCAAATCTTTAAAAGCAGCTATGAGAAAATGAAGCCTACGGAATTGAAATACTATAAATATTTTTAATTAAGTCAACACAGGCATCTCTTGTTTTATTATACCTGTATTCTTTTAATCATTTTATTCAAAACCAATGTACGGAGCCTAGGTCTTATAGTTACAATGTTATGTGATATTCTGTGTCTGTTATTGTAATTGTACTTTTATTGTATGTATCTATTTGTAAACACCATGTGTTTTACATTAAAAAATAAGGACAATATCATAAGTATACGCGAGGAATTTATCGTCGTGTAATTTTGCAAGGAAGAATTACTTGCTTTTTTGTTGATGAGTCTTCATCAACGGTACTATAGCGAATCTTCTTTTGCGGTGTGAAAATCCTTGTAATTTAGCGTTATTAAGTGCTCGTATAAAATAAGATAGCTTCGGATGCATAACCGAGTAGACTATACACATTTGTGATTTTGATTTTGAAATCATTATAATTATTTTCTTTATAATACTTAATAACATATTATACAAAAGTTGTAGCAGACGTACATTTTATCTCAATGTTTCTGGGACAGTGAATCATTAATAATTTATTTAAATAACCTAAAATATTTGAGTCCATATGCAGTTTGGAATTTATTTCTGTTAATTTATTCAGATTGCTCATCTTAAGGTTTTTTTAATTTTTAAATATAATTTGTGTTTATTGTTTCAAATAGCCAATATGTAGCTGTTTGTAATTCATTTTGGTTTATTGTTAGTTTCTGGTAGTTCATATGTTGGTATGTGGAAATCCTTTTTAATAATTATAAAACATTCCGATTCTACACACGCATACTCGAAAGTTGATATTAAAAGGATGCTGGAGTTCCCTATTCACAACATCTATGTAGTGTTTGGAGACCAGGTCTTCCAACAATCTATTGGAATTCCAATGGGAACCAATAATGCTCTTTTATAAGCCGACCTGTTTTTATATTCCTATGAAGCAGAATTTATTCAGAAACTTCTAAAGAGAAGAAACACTCTTCCTGTGGCCTTTAATTTAACTAAGATATATCGACCACGTTTTATAAATTAACAATAGTTACTTCCATTCATCGATATATCCCTGTGAATCAAAATAAAGGACACCACAGAGTCTGTCACATGTTTCTTTTTGAATGTTTTACTGACTACAGACGATTACGGCCAACAAAATACTAAACTGTATGACAAATGAGATGACTTCAGCTTTTCCATCGACAACCTTCCTTAGGAGGGAAAATTCCGTTCCGATTATTTTCATATCTTAGTCAACGGTTTTGCTGAAAAATTGTAAATACATTTAATGAACTCTGGCAATATATAAAAGCAAGAAATATTTCAGAAATATTCTGTTTCTTCTTTTGAATGACCTATTAATGTGTCAATGGTATAGGTTTCCGGTGCAGTCTCGAAATCAGGTATTGAAATTCTGTTATAACTAGATGCTAAGTCTCGGTTAACACAGAGAATGTACAAAAATTCATTTAGCTATACGCGTCGTTTTTTTATCATTATATCGTCGTATTTTGTGCAAGTTTGATAGCTTTTCGATAACAAATACGGATATCATAAAGTTTTTTTTATCAGGCTACTGAAATGTGATTATGACGACAAAAAAAATAAAATTTGAAGTCAAGGTGGAGATCAAGGTATACACTAATTTTTGTGAAGAGCTTGTTTAACTCCTATTCAGACAAAAAAGAACTTATAATACAAACAAAATGCAGAGGAAACGTGTCGGGTTTTAGTTCAGCGTTTATTCAAACATTTTCTGATTTTTTTTAACCATAGTGAATGTAAAGGAACTGGACAGCCTTCAATTATTTCGAAGTAACGAATAAACGGATCGAGGAACTAGCTAAAGTTCGTACCAAAATATGCATGTTCAATTGTAAGAAATATTGCATCGATGTTTGACAATGGAAAAGCAACGATACACAAGTGTGAAAAGGGGAGTTCTGAGGCAATGGTCATAAGTAGGTTTAGAATTTCACCGATACTTATTTAGTGAAACTATCAACAAGAAATTTGCAAATTAGTGCTATTTGTTCTTGATAAAATTCTTTGGAACTTTCATGAATTGATTTCACTTTTCTCTGGTGTTAAAGTAAAAGACTCAATATTTTCGGAATAGCCCTGGTATTGATCTAGAAATATTCCACTAGCACCTGCATATGGTGTTTATATCATCAAACTTATTCGATATGCAAAAGCATACTCTGAATACGATCAGCTTTTAAACCAAGGCTGGCTACTGACAAATAAGTCAAGGTTACAAGGATTTCAACAACCTGGTTCAAAGTCATTTAGCAAGTTGGTTGTTATAATGACTTTATTTACAAATATAACCTATTATTGGGAGTACTTTGACTGAAATATTAGGCCATTAATTTCATACTAAATTTGACTTCGAATTCTTCTATCTGATCAATACATAGCGCCCGCGTGGCGTAGTGGTTAGAGTGTTTGCTCTAGAGTTGATCCTTACGTCGCAGGTTCGAATCCCGGTGCGGTACGTGGAGACCGGTCCTTCGAATGAGGCCGTATTAACCGAGGTCTCGTGTCGCAGTAGGTGTTGACACGAAATATATCCCTCACTGCTCAATGGCCCTGAGTGCCCAGTAGGTCTAAATTTGCAGCCCTCCACCGGCAAGTGGTGCCGTCTCCCTATGAGTGAAAAATTCTCTAGAGTAACGTTAAACAACAAAGAAACAAACATAGGGCTCAAGTCGGGTATTAAAGGTAGACAGAGGATGCTTACTCCTCCTTTGCACCTGATCCTACCTTTGGAATTTTCAGGGGTTCGTGCCTTATGCCCTGTTCATAAATTAATATTGTTTGTAGTTTTCTTTAGATCGATTACTGTTCGTTACATCAAAATTGGTACCGTATAAGATTTACATTATGACCCCTGGGTTGAGGCTTCTAGATCTGCTGGTGGACTGTTTGTTCCCGCGGATCTCTACAGCTTAGCAGCTACATACTTTGGTACTAGCTTGAAAATACAGTAAATATTTTTTTTGCTTTGGTAAATTTAGAAATTTATTCTAAATTTAAGTATTATCTCCTTCATGCATAGCTCTGATCCTTCGACATATTTCTAAATTGGCTCCAGTCTTTGGCACCCCCTTTTTCAGCTCTTCAAAGCTTTTTTAATTTAAATATTTCGAATTTCCAACGTTTCGACATGAGCATCGCTAGAGAGTCATAAATTGTTGAAATGAGCATCTGGTGCATCAAAATTGGTACCGTATAAGATTTACATTCACCTTTTCAGGTACATTTTGTATTTTGTTCATCAGTTGAATTGAACATATTTTATTGCAATATATATACAATGGGATTGGGCACAAGTTCTTAAAACGTATTTCGCCCTCTCATCAGTTCAAATGTACTTGCTTGAGATTTATTTTTAGTGGGTATTTCGAGTATTGTAGTTAATATGTAGCTGTTCGAATTTGTAAGTTGTTGAATATGTAATGTATATGTTGCGCTGTTCATATGTAGTCGTTTGAATTTGTATGTTGTTGACTATTTCATGTATATGTTGCGCTGTTCATATGTAGTTGTTTGAATTAGTAAGTTGTTGACTGTTTCATGTATATGTTGCGCTGTTTATATGTGGCTGTTTGAGATGCACTTTTGATGACTGCTTAGCTATTTATGCCACCCAGTTCATAAGTAATTATTTGAAACTGATAATTTCTTTTCATCCCTTTAGGAATATGCGTTGCTCAGTCTTTAACCATTCTTCGAGATGACGCAGACTCCAGAATTGAACAATTAGTTCTAGATCTGCTAAAGAATGAAAGAGCCAAAGTTGTGGTCATGTTTGCCAACGAAGACAACGCCAGAAGAGTTCTGAAAGCCCTTATGAAATTAAATAAAACGTCCGAATTAACATTTCTAGCCAGCGATAGTTGGGGAGCGAAAATTCACCCCGTCAAAGGTCAAGAACTGGCTGCAAACGGCGCTGTTACATTGCTTCCAAAAAGACATGTGATCAAAGGTACGTAGTCTACTATGTAACAAGTATATTTATATAAATTAAAATTAAATCCAAGAGGAACAAACAAGTTCACATTTAATTATTACACTTATTACACTTAAATGTGAACTTGTTTGTTCATCTTCGATTTGATTTCAATTTATAACCTACCTATACCATGGACTTTTACTGCAATTTCACTATATATATATATATATATATATATATATATATATATATATATATATATATATATATATATATATATATATATATATATATATATATATATATATATATATATATTCTTCACATTACCCCATGTCAGGGATCGATCCGAAATCTTATATCACATACCAGACCAGTGTGAAAATATGAATATAATTTTGAGAAAAGTTTGTTTTTTAAAGTTAAGAATTTGTAAAATATGTACAATATATTACTATGTACATGTATGTGAATTCACATTTTATTGGAATGATTTAAATACAATGGAATAATGATAAATGGAATCCCTTATACTCAAATCTACACCAATTGTCAAATCAGCCCTCTGGCTAAGATGACATAAGATATGTTTATTTTTAGTATTTAATATTCTCAGTATTTTCTTTCGAGCAAAGTAGGATTGGGCACTTTCTTAATACTTGTAAACTAATAATTTTTGGGTGTAAAATTACTTTTTACCTAGGTATTGCTCTTAAGTTGTACAGAAATCTTTGGGTCATCTCATTAATCGTAAATGATCAAATATTAATATAATCTTATACCAAAATCAGCGATTAACGACAATATCTTGTATATTCCTCATAATTACATGGGCTTTTCAGTTGTCAAGTTAAAAAGAAAGAGAATTAAAAAAAAAATTGTGTGTAAACGTCAATGAGAGATATAAATATTTTATAATAAAATCAAAGCAATGAACTTTTAGTTTTGTATTTTACACCAACAGCAGAAAAAGAGAACATCTAAAATAAAAATAAAGATCATTTTAACACACATACCTCAAGGCTTATAAATACATACCTGTTTGGTTCAAATGAATATGAACATGATCTAAAGATACAATAACAGTAATGTCTTTGATAATTCAAAAAACAAAAGCGAAACATGAATAAAAAACGACATTTTCTCTATATCGCTGATAGGCTGTAATTGAATCTATGATGAAGTTCAATACTTCATTACTCGCTATCAGAGATTACAGTGAGTCACTGGTAATCTCCACGAGGAAGCGATACAAAGGAGTTTTTTTTTATATTTCAACCTTGTAAATGGAAACCGATGAAAAGTCTTCAAAGAACGTCACAAAGGCAGGCTTCTGTTAATGATAAAGCTCCCGGAATATAAGATGAATTACTGAGCAAAAAAACCATCACATTTTACCATGTGATATTTACGTGTATATATGAAGTATATTAACTTTGAGTAATAAAACTGAAGAGAGAAAATACTCAGCTTTGAACCACCAATTAAAAAAAGTGTTTTAAAGTGTAAATTATCATAAATTCAAAGTAAAACTAAATAAAATTTTGAATACAACAGATCGAACTTAAATGTAGAGAACTCTATGGTAAAATTCTTCTTTCATTAGAAGAATGAACAAATTGTTCACAAATGTTGATGTTTTGAATTGACAAAATTTGTTTTCAGCTACTTTAAGCCAAATACCCAAGGGAGTGATTATGACCAGAGGTATTCTTTTCTCTGTTACTTACGGTCTGCCTGTCTGTTAACTTTTTACACTTTCGATCTATCATCTCGAGAACCACTGGGTCAACATGAAATTATCTTGTTTTAAAACATGCAGATATATGGGTATTTTTTATTCGTGAGTTGATGAAAAATGAATGTCATCACAAACACAAGAGAATATACAGGATATTCTTTGTAAATCCTATACAGGATCACCAAATTGAGATCATTGCATATACATCTGTATGTAAACCGACTCTTAAGAAAATGCATCATGCCCTTTTTTTCAACATGGCCATTTAGGCTCAAGCTGTACAAGTGCATGAGAATCATCTTTGTCGGAAAAAGCTAGCATTTTATTTTAAAAGTTAAAAATACATACTTCTTTTCAAATTAAGTTGTAACTAATGCACGGTCTCTGAATGAGTTTCTCACTTATGAACCTTTCCATACACCATGTCCTGTCAGAAATATATGCAAACTATGACATCGAATGACATTTGAATAATTATAATCAATTTTTATATACTCAGTAATAAATAGAGTTTTTTGCATATGCAATATGCCTGACGTCACAATAGCTGTATCAGCTTCCAGGACTGATACGAATCTTGCATGCAGGGCTGATACGGATTTATATCACATCCCTTGTAGATTTACCTTTAAAAACCAGTACCTGTGGTAATACTCTTATTTTTCGTTCATATTTTCTTAATTTTAAATTACTGTTCTTTGATACGATTGGCTAGTCAGTTATTAATTTGCTCATGTAGATGCGTGCTGTATTTTATTACTAAGTATGTAATAAACATGATTAAAAAATACCCTTTACACATCACATCCTATATCAGTCTCGGGCGCCTTGATCTTTTGGCTGATATCGGTGTCTCGGGCTGATACAGGATGTGATATGGAAAAGGGTATATATTATTCTCTATTTATTTAAAAAAATATATAAACAAATACAATTCATTTCTGCTGAGAGCTCTAGCCAAAGCTTCTTGCTTTTATTGCATAGCAATCTAGGTAAGAATTCAATGTCCGTGCTTTGCCTCGAGTGCTTCTATTGCTTCTAGTCAAGGAACCAGGAAATCAAGCAAAAAAAGACTAGAATATATTCAGAAGTGTCAAATGACTTGATTTTAATCTGTTACTCTTCATTTTTTCCCCAGAATTTGACGAATACTTCACAAACCTTACAGTAGAAAACAACAAAAGAAATCCATGGTTCTCCGAGTTCTGGCAGGAAGTGTTCAACTGTACACTAAAAAACAACACCGGAATAAAACAATGTTCAGGTTTAAGTCTTTGAATAGATCGTATAGTTTTTAAATGTTATTCCGAAAATCGATGAACTTTATTTTTTTTTTATTATTATTATTCATACGATAATTTTTACCTTTAAAGTAATATTGCTATCCATTTATTTTTGTATACAACACATATGGTTCAAATGAAAAACAATTGGTGTTTATGGAACATATTTCATTTAACAATATCAACACCGATAAAAATTCGAGACAAGTATCCCCTCTATAAACTCAAATATATCATATCTTGGTAATTCCTTTTAAGTTTATATTCCTCCTCGATTCATTTAGATTCAATGTTTACTATTCGCTTCTATGAACAGGGCGTTAAATAAAAATGCTTCTTTTAAAAAAATATATTAATTTTTACATTTTCAAATCAAAGAAATTAAGCATTACTTCATAGATCGGAAATAATCAGATAGCATTTTTACGAATATTCATTCATTTGCAATAAAACCTGCTTATACTTTTAATAGATTAATAAACCAGGAAAAAAAATGCAAAAATTAGGAAAAAGGATAAACATAAAAGATGAAAGATTAAAAGCACGTCTTTTCATTTCACATGTAATTCCAACAAACATAATTATAGTCTTTTGTGTAGATTAAATCAGTAACGTATCTTACAAATTATATCATTTTAGGAAATGAATACATAGGAATGAAGGGGGCGCCATATAACCAAGAGGGCTTAGTGCAATTTGTAATTGATTCCGTGTATGCGTTGGCGCATGCGCTCCACAATTTGTTAACAGACCAGTGTACCCTTCCATTTCAAAATTGCACAACATCCGCAGTTACGTCTGGAGAAGAGGTTTTAAAGTATATACGAAACGTTTCCTTCCGAGGTATGGGATGTATTATAAAGTAGAATGTACTATAATTCCTATTAGATAAGACATTCATTCATTTTGTTTTAGTCGTCCGCGTGGCGCAGTGGTTAGAGCGTTTGCTTTAGAGTCGCGGTGCAAAGATAAAGATCCCTCACTGCTCAATGGCCCTGAGTGCCGAGTATAGATATAAATTTGCAACCCTCCACCGACAAGTGGTGGCGTCTCTATATGAGTGAAAAATTCTCGAGAGGGACCTTTAAAAACAAGCATTCTGAAAGTATTGCATTAACAATACTAGTCCCCTACCGGCAAGTGTAATCCGGTTCCCGTTAAGAATTGAAAATGCCATAGTTCCGACAAAAATCAATGAAGCGGGGCGAAATGCAAACTTTATCTGTAACTAATCAAGATAAAGTCACATACCAAATATCAGCTCAATATCTGAAAGCGTTTATGTCTGTCTGTCAGTCTGTACCACTTGGTTTTCCGCACTTTTTTCCTAAACGCTTGCAGATATTGAGCTGATTTTTGGTATGTGAGTGTATCTTGATGAGTTACAGATCAAGTTTGCATTTCGTTTTGCTTCACTGATTTTTGACGGAATTACGACCTTTTCAATTTTTACGGGTTTTCCGCAATTTCCTTCTAAACGCTTGTAGATATTGAGCTGATTTTTGGTATGTGGCTTTACCTTGATTAGTTATAGATCAAGTTTGCTTTTCGTCCCGCTTCATTGATTTTTGACGGAATTATGGCATTTTCAATTCTTAACGGGAACCAGATTACACTTGCCGCTAGGGGACTAGTATTGCTAATGCAATACTCTCAGAATGCTTGTTAATTTTGTGTCTATTCTGTAGAATCATAAATAAATTAACGAATGTTTTTTTTTTTTGTGATTGTGATTTACAATTCGTAAAATTCTATGGTTCTTATAAAGACCTTGTTAGCAAATATAACCCATCATTGGGTCGTATTTTGACGGATGTTTTTCATACCAATTGTTGGGCCTTTGTTAAAACTAATTTGATTACGGAATATTCCGTCTACCTGATAAATACTTATGGCCCAGGGCACGTGTGATCGACCGTCAAGGGACGTTTACTCCCCCTAAGCACCTGACCTTATCTCTGGAATTTCCTTTGTTCCGTGTTTTATGCTCCATATAGATTTGCATTGTTTTCGAACTTTTTTGAGAACGATAACTATTCGTTATCTTCACCTTTTTATTACAACATATTAATAAACCTACTTCCGATTTCACCATCATTTATAATTAACTTACTGACACCTAATTGTTTTTAAAAACAGGTGTAGGAGGAGACTGGGTAGAGTTTAATAAGGAAGGCGATGGACTTGGAAAATATGATATTTTCCAATATCAACAAACATCTACAGGTCTTTATAGTTATATTCAAGTCGGAGATTGGATAGACAGGTTTGTATAAAACAATGAAGTAGTGAATAAAACCACATCTTAAGTACCATACAACGAAATATTAATTTTGTTTATGTAAGTTGTTGTGTACAAGTTGCTCTCACATGTGAAATATCAGCACATTCTGGAATATCTAAAGGGGGGGGGGGGGGTTGATTAAAACAAATACATGTATATAAATTGAATGTCCTAAATGCACACTTGAAATAACAGTTGATAAAGTCATTATTCAGAGGAAATCTGAGTTTGTTCTGTTTGTTACATGAAACATGAATGTAACGAAATGATGAAGACGTGAAAAAGATATATATTGCTGTCACGTGCTCGTACATTCTAAACAGAAATGCTCACGACATATACATGTGTTTATAAAATTAGCATACAGAAATGAAAAATAAAAAAAAAAAAAAAAAAAAAAAAAAATCAACTTAATTTATCATAAAACATTCTGTGCAATGCATCTCTCATCAATAATTTATTGTTAGCTATGAGGATTAATAAACAGATTTCCGGGCCTACATTTTTAATTTCTGATATTAAATTAAGATTCTTGTGTGTTATTTCATAATCGGTACATCCTCTTCTCTCTATGTTTTAGTCTGCGTCTCAACGAATCAATGCTGAAATGGAAAAAGAAGATTGTTCCATATTCTGTATGTAGTGAACCGTGTTTGCCAGGATTTGCTCGTCTTGAAAAAGGATTGAAATGCTGCTGGGGTTGTTTTCAATGTGCATTTAATCAGTACTTAGCTGACGAGTATACGTGCAGGGATTGTCCTGAGGGATCGAAACCTTCCCAAAACCAATCAGCGTGTACGCCACTTCCGGTTCTCTCGTTAGAATGGGGGACATTTTGGATGTTACTTCCTGTAGCTTTTACAAGTATAGGCGCTGTATTGACAGTGTTAGTGATTGCAGTGTTCATACGGTACAACGAGACTCCTATTATAATGGCTTCTGGAAGAGAATTGTGTTATGTTCTTCTCGTTGGAATTCTAATGTCATACGGAACATCTTTGATAATGTTAGTGCGACCGACATTCATTCTTTGTACCTTGAGGAGGTTGGGTCTTGGCGTGTCTCTTTGTTTGATATATGCTGCAATGTTGACGAAGACTAACCGAATCTACCGAATATTTAATAACGGCATCAAAGCAATGGTTAAGCGTCCCAGCTACACAAGTCCACGATCGCAGCTTGTGATCTGTTTCGGTATTGTTTCTGTTCAAATGGTTGGAGGTATAACATGGTTAGGTTTTGAAAAACCGGACACGATATTTGTTTTACAAGATCAGGACTACCTGGTGCTCAAGTGTAAAGCTAGTAAAACTGCAATCATAGTTTCTCTGACTTACAATATAGTTCTGATCATAATATGTACTGTTTATGGTGTGAAAACTAGGAAGATACCTCAAAACTTTAACGAAGCCAAGTGCATAGCATTTACTATGTACAGCACATGCATTGTTTGGCTAGCCTTTATTCCAATATACTTCACAGCAAGTGGTGGAGATTTCAAGGTACATATATACATGTTTATATGTTTAAATTCTTTTGTTTGATACACATGCAATAGAATTGATTAATTTTTTTTTTTTTTGAAATTTGAAAAGAAAGAGGTCACGAAGATCGAGGATTGCTTTGAATTCCATCTCTTAGTAAGATGTTGAAAATGTGAATTCATAAACTGAATATCAGAATGGAGAAAAATGATTGATGGGTTAATGTGATCCTAAATTTAGGAAGTGAAATCATCCAACGACAACTTTTTGAATAGTAAATTATACAATGTAGTATTACTTTTTGCTGTAGTACTGAATAATGTTTCGGTGATCGACGGTGACATATCACAGTAGATTTCATATGCGCATCAAGAAAATGTAACCATTTGCTCTCTCGCACAAGACAAGGCGCTAACTAATTTTTATCCCATGTTTACCCCTTTATCCCGTGGATATGACTCATTGGATATTTTTTCATAACCCGCAGTTGTGACGTCACAATGGTTTTTGCGTTAGAGTGATGAAGTAAAATAAAGTGAAGTCCTATAGAAAACAGTGTAAAACATTGGTTGTGAAGTATTAAAAATGGGATAAAAAGAATCTCCCATGATTTGTAGTTGGATATGACTTTTTATCCAACTCGTTGTGTGTTTTTATCCCCTCGCCAAGGCTCGGGGATAAAAAAACACACAACTCGTTGGATAAAAGTCATATCCAACTACAAATCATGGGAGATCCTATATGTATATAAGGCTCACGTTTGAATGGATAAAAATTAGATGAGTATTCTGTTGTTTTGGGGAAAAAAATTGTAAAATTTATACATGAAGATTCGAAAAGCTTTAGAAAATCACAATTTATGTTCGGTGACATTTTGTTATGAGAAGAAGGAAGCTTGAAATATTAACTATTATTTGTCATTACTTTCACTTTTTTAAATATTCCTTAAAAGTCCTTTAATGTGAACGCATCTGCCCTATTGTGGATATAAAAAAATAATCAATGTTCCAAATAGTCACTACCTAGCAAGATGAAAGCACTGCTGGTGCATTAATTCGTCAAACAGACACAAAAGTTGATTTAATGTAAGTTTAAGTTAAAATTAAGTATGTCTTAAATGAGAAAAGTGAGTTAACCTAATAGTAAAGTAAGATACATAGCGCTCTTTTAGTTTTGAAACCGACGCTTGAGAAGAGACAGACTAATTATGGATGAATTAGTGTTTGTGAAACACTCATGAACAAATAGCTTTCTACGAACAAAATTAACTAGTACAAAAGGATCGAAGTAACTAATCCTTCATCTGAAGGCACTCTTAGAAAATTAAGTAAAGAAACTCGGCTTCTCTTCTGGTTTAAAGAATTGAACATTTTTGTCCAAAAAATTATTATAATAGCAGATAGTACACTGTAACAGAGGACTGTATACATGATGCAGCAAAGAGAAAGTACGTTGCGTCATATGCTTTTTACACTGGCATGCTTTGTGAACAGTCTATTGTCATGTATTGCTGTTGATGACAGCACTATGATTGATACACGTTTGATTATTATTTTCTCCCCTCTCTGGCCATCTTGGAGAGCACACGAATAAATGTTTTTGTACTAAAAAGCCTTTCAACAGCATATTTATCGCATGGTAGAATTTGGAGAGTAAGGGAAATGAAGATTTCTGTATTATCGAAGCAATGCCTCTAATGAAAAAGAATAGCTGCGGTACAGCTGTATATGTAAGCTTTAAGATTTAGAGAAGAATAAATTAGACATTTTAGAGAGACTGATTTCACAAAGCTAAAAAAAAGGATAAATTTCTCGATTTGATCGAAAATATTTTATTGTAGTAAATATATGCAATGGGATCGGGCACAAGTTCTAAAAACTGAAATATATTAACTCATGATAACTATAATAATATGATTACAGAGTTCACGTAAATCATAAATTGTGGTACATGTATATTTTTAAACTTTTTTTTTCAGATTGAAGTAACATCTCTTTGTATGTGTGTCAGCATCAGTGCCACAGTTGCACTTGTGTGTATATTTGCCCCGAAGATATACATAGTGTTGTTGCAGCCGCATAAAAACGTTAGACAAGGCGCGACAACTTCTTTGAAAAACAATCATCCAACATTAGCACGCATCATCTCCGAGCGAACTGATTCTCTTGGACCCTTTCCTTTCCAAAATGGCGGAGTTTATACTCATCCCAATCAGACAACCCAAACAACACACACAACAATCAATGACGTATTCAGCGATGACCTCGATGACCTCTCTTGTGATGATGCAATAGGTGACGATGAGTCGAACGGACAGTTAAATCCACCCATGGAAGCAGATATATGAGGATGCAATATTGATGCTTAAATTCACTTTTTATATCATTTATGCACAGCTTATCATATTCTCTTTGTAGTATTTATCATTTTTAATGAATATATAAATTTAACCTCACCCAATCAAAACGCTCAAGTGAGTTTTTCTGATCAACGAATGCCCATCGTCCGTTCGGATGTCTTTTATGTGTGTTAAATTCCTTGTAATTTTTTTCACATTTTCAATTAATGCAACTTCTTCGCCAATACCACTGGGCCAGTTTTAATCAAATTGGCCATAAAGCATCTTTGGATAAAAGAAATGAATATTTTTCCTTCTGGACCATGTCTTATTTCAAGGGGAGACGAATAACAAATAGTGAACATTATTCTTTTGAGAAACATCTCCTCAAGAACCAAATGCTCATGCATTTTTTTACAGGAGAAAATATAGGAAAAGACATCTTTAAAAAGTGTCTTATCATGAAAAACAAAGCTTGATTTATCATACTGATCTTGAAGCATCTTCAGATGGTGCAGATTCAGATTTATATAAGACATGACTCCCTTGGGGCTGGTTGAGTCTATAATATGAGTTCAAGATTTTTAATGTAAATGAAGAGGGGAAAACAGGTAAGGGATAAGGTCCATGGACCTCAAGTTTATCATAATCATGTTAGATGAAAATTAGAGTCATTAGAGAAGAAGCAATGGATATGGTTAACATTTAATGAATGAAGTGAACTTAATGTTTGCATGTTGATATTTAAAATCATTAGTAAAGAGCAAGAGCCACTTAGTGCTTTTTTTTGGCCCTGAGAATTTCTGAAAAATCGAAACTGCTCAGTTTTAGTTGAAAATGCAGTATTTATAGCTTGGACTCTTGGTGACCGTGTATCTATTGAACATGACGTAATTTTCTCTCTAGTCAATGCATAATGACGTCATAAAATATGTCATTTCCCCATATTCTGTAAATTCCCTTAAAAATGGCCAAAAATTGAGGTATTTTTTCAATATTTCATATAGAGCACAACCTCTGATCCAAACTATGCAATTACATAATGAAAGATCTGTTTCTGGTGATCACAAAACATGTTTTAATTTTTGGATCGTGGGCTGTGCTCATATTTTAATTTTTTGTTGAAGGTAGTCAAATACGTATGTTTTCTGCGAAATTCTAGAACATTGCATTTTCTGAAAGCCTGTTTTCCAATACCTGGATTCTCAAAAAGAAATTTTGTTAAAGGAAATGAAAGCACTAAGTTTCCACGTTATTTTGATATATGAAATGGGACAGAGGGTGATAGTCAATTAATTGATATAAGTAAAATGCCATTTTATGCATAAAGTGAACTTAGCTCTTTACTAGTAAATTCTTAATCTCAAGATGAAAATGATCACAACACAAATTTGAATTATGTTACCAACTTCAGGCTGAAAAATTGCTGTCGATGCTAATTTTTTTTTCAGTGCAAGTAATAATTATGCCAGTAAATCAGTTTTAGCTCACCTCAACTGAAAGCTTAAGTGAGCTCTTCTTATCACATTTTGTCTGGCGTCCGTTGTCTGTCCGTCTGTAAATTTTTCAAATTTTTGACTTCTTCTGAAGAAACTTTTGGCCAATTTTGACCAAACTTGCCACAAAGTATCCTTGGATAAAGGGGATTTAAATTTGTTCAAATAAAGGGACATGTCTTCTTTCAAGGGGAGATAATAAGAATTAGTGAAATTTTGGTGTCATCTTTCAAAATCTTCCTTTCAAGAACAAATAGACCAGAAAAGTTGAAATTAAGTGAAACCTTCATTGCATAGTGTTGCTTCAAGTTTCTTCAAATCATGACTCCTGGGGGTAGGGTGAGGCCACAATAGGATCAAAATTTTTGACTTCATCTCAAGAAACTTTTGGCCAATTTTGAATTTTGACCAAACTTGCCACAAAGTATCCTTGAATAAGGGGATTTAAATTTGTTCAAATATTCTTGGAATACATATGAAAAAATTTCAAGATCGTCTTCTCAAGAACAGCAAAGCCATGATTAGTCATTTTGACACTGAAGCATCCTCATGTAAGTTTGATTAAAGTTTGTTTAAATCATGACCCCCGGGGATAGGATGGGGTAACAATGAGGAATCAAATTTTTATATAGTAATACATAGGGAAAAACTTTAAAAATCTTCTTCTCAAGAGAAGCAAAGCCATTATTAGCCATTATTAGATTTGATATGAAAGCATACAAAGGAAGTGAAGATTCAAGTTTGTTCAAATGATGACCCCCGGAGTAGGGTGAGGCCACAATTAATGGGGGATCAATTTTACACTGGAATGTATAGGAAAATTTCTTCTCAATAACATCAAAGCTATTATTAGAAATTTTAATATGAAAGCATCCACAGGTAGTGTAAATCCAAGTTTGTACAAATGATGACCTCCGGGGATAGGGAGGGGCCACAATAGGGGATCAGGTTTTTCAAAGGAATACACAGGAAAAACTCTTCTGCTCAAGAACAGCAAAGCAATTTGTTATTCTGATATGGCAGCATCATCAGGTAGTTGTAAACTTTTCAAAGCTAAATTGATTTGTGCTTTTTCCTAGCCAAAGTGCTCACGTGAGCGATGTGGCCCATGGGCCTCTTGTATGGTTATACTTTGTGTTGAGATTGAATGAACTATTTTTTGTATTTATGAAGAATATTATCAATACGAAAGCTCTTCATAACAATTACTTTTTTTAATTTCTTTAAATCGACCTCACATGCGCGAAAGGGTAATCAACAAAGTGTTCATGCACCCTACAAAATATACATATTTCCTAAATGATGCTAGCTTAATACAAAGTAAAGTATAGCTTTTTCTAAATATTATATAGTATTTTACCGTAAAATTCACCCTACTGTGAAGTATTTTGAAATTGCGTTACAATTTATCATTGATCGATATTTTAACTTTCGGTTGTCTATTTGACCTTAAATCTAATGGGATTCTGGAAAAAAAAATGTCAATGAATGTCTTTTTCACATGTACTTGTATCCCATTGTATCGGTGCTGCTATTCTTGCCAAAGTACGCTCATTCCTTAATCATACCAAGAATTACTATAATGTACATTCCCAAAGTTGTCCTATTCTAATCACAGGGGTTGCTTTCGGAGTGTAAAGTATTTTAAAAAAAATCATGAAATAACTATTAAAACAGCAAGGGATGGATTTTTGTTTATTTAATGACAGATGAGTGGATTTACCAATAGCAAAGGGTCAGATCTCTACATTATTTGCTCGACTTGTGTTGATTTAGAAGTTGGTATCTGAATTTTAAAGATATTTCTTTTTAAATTCCTGGAGCAAGCCCCTGTGTTCTAATATAAATTTTACGTTGTTATCTCTTGTACTTGTTGTTGGTTAATTTGGATATTGTTTGTTATAAAATAAAGATGTCAAAACACACGATATGTGTTTATTACAAAACTGTGGGCGTAAAATCATTTTCGTCTTCTTGAAAAATGTAAATAAATAAATAAAATAACGAATTAAATTTATAATTATATTTGATAATTGCATTATAATTTTTTTTTCTTATATATTTTTTAAAATCAAAATAATTCAATTATTAGTTTTTTCAGCATACGTTAATCGATATTTCCTCCTTGTATATAACAATATAATCAGAAGTTAAGAGTAGTGTTGCCAACCAATGTGCCATTTAGGCACTGAATATTTTACTTTTGATTCTGGAAATGTGTTTCAATTTTCTACTACTTTTTTTTGATAAGCATGCGTATATTTTTTTCATGTCTTAAAAAAGGAAAGTTTACAATGGAAAGACTGAAGTTATCTCGATTGTTTAGTTTATTTGTTAGTTGGCAGTTATCGTCTTTAGTCAGTAGAACATCCAAATATAAAATAGATGTAGCACACTCTTTTTCATTTTAAGTTCACTGGGATTAATTGAGTGGACTTATGAATGGAAGTTACTATTTTTAATTTGTAAACCCCCGTCGATATATCTGTATGTCCAGTTGAAGGCCACACTGTTTTCTTCTCATGTAGAAGTTTTTGAATACACTCTGTTTCATAGGAAAATAAAAAAAGGTCGACTGTATAGAGGAGTAGAATTAGGCCCATCGGAATTCCAATACTTTGTCATAAGACCTGGTCTCCGTAGACTATATAAAGATTGACAATGAGGAACTCCAGCACCCTTTTAATATCAACTCCGGAGTACTTGTATGTAGAATCACTGTGATTTTAACAATGTAATTTTGTTGATGACCAAATACAAAATATGAAAATTTCTGAGTTCCATTTCTATTGAAGAAGCTAAGACCGCCGAACATTCACTGGCAAAATTGGAAATATGTAGCTTACGTCATTTCATCTGTTACAGTCGAAACATTTAATGATAGACAATGAAATAGGCGGGTACAATTCGACACAGGCGTCCGAGAAAACATTGGATTAAAATTCTAGTTTGAAATTCATTTTCAATCCACCTCAGCTACTCTAGAATGCACAGTGTTACTGATTGACCCAGAAGACAAATAATTTCAATTTTGGAGATTGTTTGAAATTTATATAAATCAGAATTTTCTGTCCAGTGTTTTTAAAGAAATATAAAGGGACAAATATTTGATTTCTGTTTGGTATGTGTATGTGTGTGCTTGGGGGGGGGGGGGGCTGAACAATCTTGGAAATAAATAAGACAGTTTTCTTTTAGTTTGGACAACCCCTCCCTGTTTTTGCTTGTCAAACATTTTTCAGTGATGACAAAACTAAAAAAAGCCCTTGTCATTCTAATAGAATATATTCTGTCATGTGAAGGCATGATCTGACTTCACAATTTTTGACAGCCCCCCCCCCCCTCCTTTTAGAATCAAATGGCCGTGCCCTGAAAAAATAATCTATGTCTTCTATAATTTTACGTGTTTTTAAAATTAAAGGCTAAAAACTCATGTAAATATGAATTTCAAACAACATGTATTTGGAAATTGAAATTTTTTGTCTTTTGGATCATACATTCACACTTTAGATTTGAAAACAGCTCAGGTGGATTGACAATGAACTTCAAACTAGAATTTCAATCCAAAGCTAATTTTCTCGGACGTCTGTGTCGAATTGTACCTGACCATTTCATTGTTAAATGTTTTGACTGTAACAGATGAAATGACATAAGCTGCATTTTTCCAATTTTTTCCAGTTAATGTTGTTTTGAACATATTTTATTGAGTACATCAAAAGGATTGGAAACAAGTTCTTTACAACTTACAAAGTTCCTCTCCTTGAACTAGTTAATGTTCCGCGGTCTTATATGTTTATGATATCACAGAGCCTAGCTTTTAATTTACCGTGAGGAATAGTTGTATAAAGTGTAGAAAAATCATACGTCTTGATATTACCTACTTTTGAAATATTTTGTAATTTTAAATTTTCTAAAAGTTCTTTAATTTGGAGTTTTTGAGAATGGAAATCTGATTTACGCCATTTCCAGAATATACTGTAGCACAGTACATCTGAAGTTTCTCCTTTACAGCAGTTAACAATTTTGTCAGGAGTAGTGGTAGGGGTTAACATTGAAATAAACGTAACTTCTTCCAACATCGTAATGCATACATTTTGTTTTGAAGAATTTTGTTATCGAAAGATTCTCTCTCTCTCATTCTCTCTCCCTCTCTCTCTCTCTCTCTCTCTCTCTCTCTCTCTCTCTCTCTCTCTGTGTGTGTGTGTGTGTGTGTGTGATATGATGACAAATACTTCAATGACATAAAAGTATATTATTCTCAGAAAAGAAAAAAAATGTAACAATAAACAAAAACACGAAAATAATTTATATACTAGTATAATTACACACTGTAATATTACTACAAATGCGTAAATAGATGTATTTGTATAGATATAAAATTAATGAAATACGATAAAGTTTATACAACTAGTAGTGTACATTTTTCATTCACACGTCTCCATTTCTTCTGAGTTGATACATCTAGAAAAAAAGGATTGATTTTAATTATAGAGATAAAAGCAAAACATGACATTTCAATTATTGATTTTGAAAGAAAAATTAATGAAACAAAATGTTTATAAACTTAGATTCAAAATAGATATCAAGGTGAATAAAAGCAGTATGCACAATCACTGAATTTCTCCTGTTAACAGATTCCCTTTTACCTGAAACAATAAAATGCATTTCTATACTAGTTAAGAATATCCCGTTTTTTATAGTAATCTGAAATATAGCAATATGAAAGATTATTTAAAATTGTCAAAGATCAACTATGGCTCTTCCCTCGATGTAAAGTACTGATAGATAATGCAATGCTTTATTGACTTTCATGCACGTCATATGTATAATATAAAGACTGATATGAATGAAATTTTTAAAAAATGGCATTGTCTTTTAGAAGGGGTAGAACGATTGTAATGAATGAAGAAATAAATTGACACAATCTGCTTATGCGGGCTATGTTTTTTTTTCGGCAATGTTGCATCCGGTCATTCCTCATCTATGTATGAGTAAACAAAAGAAGCAATTTATCGTTAAGACAAATTTTAACGTGTGTCAAAACCTTCCTACCATATTTCATAATCTCCTATATTCAAATGAACGAGCAATTCCCCTCAGTAATATTGTAAAAAATAGCAAAATATATTCTACAATTCTTTATGGTTTGTCAGTTATAACACTCCTCTGAATTTATTTAAACAAAATGTTGATATTTATTTAAATATATATCTTACCTTTTAAATTACAGTATCCTCCTTCCATATATTCTAGGTCTCTGAGCCTTTCACACGCATTTCTAGATCTTAGCTTCCGGTTTCTTCGTGACAAATAACAACGAGAAAGAACGAGACAAAGTAAACAAAATGTCCCCACTAAGAGAACAAGAAGCCCTATAAGGGATATAAATTCCATTGACCACCCATCACTGATATCATTTTGAGTAATGAAGGTTGAATTGTCTTTGATGTGGTGTGTACATGAAGTAAACTCCATTCCACGTAAAGTTTTTTTTGCAGGACCTTTTTTATCCCGGTGTGTTTTTGTGATGTATTTTCTTCTCTCATTTAAACTGTATTCAACTTCCAATTCATGCCTCCTATATTTTGGAATGGCTTTTCCTGTTCTGAAAACAAGAAAGATTATGATCCTAGTGGATTTGTTATTTCCAGCTTGTGAACTTTGTACAGATTTATCTCAAAATCAAATGGTATTCATTCACTTTGAAACATGGCCGCCTTCTTCTCTGAATAATATGCTCTTTTTTGAAATACATGTACATCTATAATACACGTGTATTGAATGCCTCATTTTATCTGGGGGAAATATTAACCTGTATCACCTGTTGATGTCAGGCCATTTATATCGCCTGATGTGAACATTTACTTATCAACAATACATCTATGTATCCTTGATTAAGCCATGTCACTGGGTCATAAATTCAATATAACATGACATTTAAACAGGTGAAATAAAAAAGAATTTCTTGTTTATCTTATAAGAGGAGTATTTTATAATTAATTTTTCCCCTTTAAACCTATAAAACTAAAAGTTGTCTAAGTATAGTCAAACTCGTTATACATGTAGCTAAGATCTGGGACCTTTTAATTTACTTCATTTTATCAGGAATCATTATATCCGGTCCGTATAGCAAATTCGAAATATACATGTTTTCCTTCATGTTTGACTATCGAATGTGTTCAGGGAAGTATAAGATACAAGATACACCTTTGATAAATTACATTTCAAATATAAATACTTACAACAAATAAGGAAATTTATCAAGCTGGCGAGAAATGCCTGCCCTTTTTTTAAAGATATTATGTTAGCATATGCAGAAATAACAAAAATCAAACAAGCACAAAATTCAATCGACTTCAACATCTTATCTAAAATTAAACGAAAAACATAATGTTTTATCTCGCTTCCCCTCTGCAGCGTTGAAGGGTAATTACAATGTAAATAATGTGAGTATGGAAAATTGAAAATGTCTTCAAGCTCAATTTTGAAAGAAGTGTACTACTTCAGCTATAATTTGTTATATTGTCAAACGTTTGCAATGCTAAATATGAAAAAAAAAAATCATGTTGACCGTTTTGAAAATGACCGAAACATGAATGGCCAACGGTATTTCCTATTCATGTAATAGACATGGTATCTTCATGCCAAATTTGGTCCTTGTCTCACCAAGGGAAAAAAAATTCAACTATCCGTTTAACTATTATTCTAATAATATCATGTTTTCTGCTTTCTACAATTGAAAAATAAAGAAAATTGTTCCAAAGTGTCTAATAAATTCACCTCATTCAGAAAAAAATAACAAACGATGGGTTTTTCAAAAGAAATTATCAGAAAAATATGAAGCTTTGTTTTTAATTTATTGAATATCTTCCAGACGCCATTAATCTGTTTCTTGGATAAGATAGCCGGAGAACGTGGAGAATCTCTCATGCAAAAAATCTCCATATTTGTCAGCTTTCTTAACCCAGACATGTGTTCCGGAAGTGAGTTTTGCTATTATCAAATTTCCTCCATTTTCATAGTTTTCTGCATGGCTGACAAAGCCAAATCCTAGTGGTCCATGAGTTGACATTAAAGTTGTATCCATTCCGGACGCCTGATTGGTCAGAAGATTCCAGTAAAACACATAAACTCCATTCATAGGAACCGTAAAAATTCCATCACTGGGCTCGTATGAATTCGTTGTATCAAGAGTTTCCAAGTCAAACACAATTGGCTGACCTGTTCCAATATTTGTCAGATCACGTGACAGGCGGGCGTGAAATGCAGGGAGCAGCCCAGTTGATATAGGGTTTGAAATAGCTTTTTTGGAATCTGTAAAAGTAGACAACTCTATATATTCATTTTTATCCATTACATATACATCTTTGTTTGGGTCACGTTTAATTTAAATAAAATAAGAGAATAATTATAATAATATAATAAAAATAATTCAAGAGAACCATTTCCGAATATGAACACATTTCATGATGAGTAGTTCCATGAATAAATTACAAAGCTGTGGGAATGACTTACAGTGTAAAATTAGAATCAATATAAGGCTTTTTAAGCTTTTTTTTAATTACGTTGACAAATTTATTTTCATTCATTTGAATTTATCATATTGACTTTTATTAAAAAGTAATGCAGCTGGCAAGTTTCTTTTTCTTTCTTTTTTTTATTATAAGATTTTAGTGAAGAATATGATTGACGTATGTACAAGAAAGCATTTATCAAGGAAATTCTTATTCATTTCGACAAGAACATAGAGATATAATGCATGTTGATAATCAAAGATTTTACGAAAATATAAGACGGCCTAGAATGACCCCTTAGTCCTCCCTGTAAAAGGCGAAACTTGCTTGACGGCTCTGCGTTTTTGCATGAAATATGTTTTTGATTTTATTTAAACTCCAATCTATTTCTGTAAATAGCGTTCTGTTCTTTAATCATAGGAATGTACGATTTTTGATTATATTTAATAATCCCTATAAAACTGTTGTTTAGGCTTTGCATTTTTAAGCGTCATCAAATCTTTGACTGAGGTGAAAAAATCTATGACATTTTTTATCAATACATACACAGAAGTAAAGGACTGTTTTTATCTTTTTTCTTAATCAAATCTATTTATCTATACTAGACAGTGTTGATTCATGATGAATGTAGATATCTATAGATAAATAAAACATATATTTATTGTTGCTTCAGATATTGATGCTTTCATACAAACACACTTGGATTACTTTGGACATGGATCAATGAGCTTACGTTGAATAGTTCCATTATCACTCCCAATGTAGCTTGTTGGGCAGTATTTGGTCTTTTCCAGGAGAAATGAAATCACACTATCCTTCTCTCTGTTGTCTTTTTCAAGTTTTTCCAATCTGGACAGAATATCCGATAGATTGTCGTTATAAGAGGACTGTAAAGAAGCGGGGATGTTTGTCAAGATTAGGAACAACAGTACAGACTTCATATCGACCGTTATATAATGTAGTCAATGAAGATCACTGTCTGAGATAAGACTGAATTCACGTTATAATCTATAAACTCTCTAATAGTACGCGTCTCAAACATGTATTATGTCCTGTTTAAGATCAATCATAATTTCCAATTTATGCTTCCTTTAAATTTTAAGCTACTGAGATTTAAAAAATACCTTTATTTCTTTAAAAACTTCATCAAAAACTTCGGTCAGTGATTTTGATAAGTAATTTTTGATGATATATATACTTAATGTGAAATTTTCTTTCTTTTTTGATGCAATTTTGTATCTCCCAGAAAATGCATTAAAAGCAGGGGTATTCAAGTGACATTAAACTTAGTATATTGGTTGTATATATACATAATTCCGTTTCCTTTGGATTTATTTAAACAACAAAATGCTTTCTTTGGTTGTAAGTAAGGAAAATAATGCTACAGTTGTTGCATGAAAAATGAACAACCCTCATAAGCAGCTTGCGTATTTTTTCTGCAATAGCTGCAATGTTAACTCCCGTATTAACAACAGACATTTTATTCACCTTTATGTCTGTATTAATCACTTTAAGTAGGTTTAAGTACTTTAAATATTGTGTTATTGATATGTATATTTATTCATATATATAATAGATTCTGTGGAAGATAAAGCTAGGCGATGGGTCAGACATGAAAAGGAGGACCTTGACACGTTGTCAGAATGGAATAAGTGTATCAATGTATGTTAAAATCTCGCATTAAGAGATTGAGGGTCAAAATGAAAACCAAATATCTTTCTTTGTTCAATATTTCAGAAATGAAAAAAAAAAAATAATTAGATTACATGATCAGTATTTACTGGTCCCTGCTGGCAAAGCAGGTAACAACATTGTCTTTGTAAGGTTCATTAATTAAATTATATTCTAAAGGAACTGGGATTTAATTTAACAAGTGGTAATCCAACTCATACCCATAGCCCCCTTTCTAAGGAGGAAATTGTTCAAAATCATATGTCAGTTTTGAATATTTTTAATAGCCCCAACAACCAAAATGAATTTGAATTGCCATATCTATATTGGATTCCGTAACTTCATAAAAATTGCCATATCTATATTGGGTTCCGAAACTTCATAAAAATCCTTACAAAGATACATAGCGGGTTCCAGTAAATGTTCTATCAAGTCTCTTTTTTTACTCCTCACTAAAATATTAAGATTAGTGAAGGAGAAACTTCAGGAGTACTGTGCAACAATATATTTGAGAAGTGGTGTAAATCAGATGTGGATACTTAAAAATTCCAAGGAACTTTTGGAACATTTGAAATCACAAAATTTTACCAAAATCAACAACATAAAAACGTACACGACTTTTCAACTCTATATACAACCATTCCCTGCGTGTTGAAAAAACATTCTGATTGAACACACTAGTTCTCTGAAGCTGATGTAAAAAGATGCTTGAGTTTCTGATTGACAGTATCTATGTGGTTTGGGAGACCAGGTCTTCCAACAATCTGTTGGAATTCCCATGGGTTTCAATTGCGCCCAGTTATTAGCAGACCTAATTTGTATTCATATGAAGCAGAATTTGTTCAAAATCTTATACGTGAAAAGAAGAAAACACTTGCTGTGGTCTTCAGCTCGACACTTTGATAAATCGACGACGTTTTGTTAATTAACAATGGTTATTTCCATGCAGTAAGCTTGAAATAAAAGATACCACAGAGTCTGACACATCTGTTTTATATTTGGATATTTTACTTTAAAAAGACGTTAATGGTAATCTAAACCAAGCCGATAAACGTGATGATCTCAACTTTACAATTATTAAACTTCCCTTACTTATGGAGCAATATACCTTCATCACCTGCATACGGGGTTTATATCTCTCAGTTGATTCGATACGCAAGAGCATGCTCTACGTATGAACAATTTCTGAAACGAGGTAAGCTACTTACAAACAAGTAGTCTCGTTTAAAGTTTCATTTCGTAAGTTCTATGGTCGATACAATGACATTGTCAGCAAATACAATTTATCATTAAGTCAAATGCTGACTGACGTTTTTCATACTTATTGTTAGGTCATTATTTACACACTGAATTGTCGACGGTTTTATCCCTTTATTTCCCGATCATGATAATGATAAGGAGCACACGGCGGGTGTGACCGGTCGCCATGGGATGCTCACTCCTCCATGGCACCTGATCCCACCTCGGATGTTTTAGAGGTCCGTGTTTGTTGTGCTCTAAAATTGGTATTGTTTAATTGACTTTTAAGCTTGAATACTGTTCGTTATATCCATGCATTTCATGTACGGTCATTGATTGAAGCATATATTGTTAAAAATCAACGATGCTGTACTGGATCTTTTTTGGAAAGATATTTTTCTCGTTTTGTTAATATTATTTATGATTTTCAGGCAAATATACCCTTTCATTACAACTTTTTAACTCCCAAAATGCAATAAAGATTTCTGCCTCTTCCATGTATCTGATGTCCCTTGTAACGCTGTTTTTTTTTTTACCTTAAGATTCTGGACGAACCCTACCTCCTTCATGTATCATGACCTTCATTATTTCAATTTATCAAGTGAAATCTTTTTATATCGAGTTCATACAGGTTTATCAGATAAAACATTACTTTGCAGCAATCTGCAGATATCATCAGTTGCACTCTCATGATGTGATTTTATATTCAGGTACATGTACCCTATATTTTCTTTATTTCTGTAACGTTAAGTATGGAAATGATATATTTAAGTTATTGGTCATCGTGACTCTGAATACGCAAGCAATTAAGATTAACGCATTTATTAACAGACATAGTCTTCTATTTCGTTATCGTCAGATAACAGACTGACTAAGTAAACATAAACGGTTGCTTTTATCGTTTTCCTTTTGCCTGTGAGAAATTCCTAACAAAAATATGAACAAGGATCGACCATCAGACACTGACAAGCATACCCTTTGTATTGCATCGCCATTTTCGGGGTTGGCTAAACTAATACAGGAGCAAATACCTTCCCTTAATGTTGTAAACATTCCACTAACAGGAGGTTTGTATCGTTATTGTTTTCCCCCTTTACTGTGATCATCACTATTCTGTATAATAAGATATCAGTTACTGATCAATGTTTCTTTTGATTCTTTATAAGGATGTTAATAATTGATAACCTTCCTAATTAAACAAAATCTAAGTATTGCAGTATTTCTTTCTTTTGGTTAACCGGTTAGGTTAACTGCAAGACGTTCCGACTGATTAGTCAGTTAATTGAATCAAAATGCACATTTTCTTTTTCTTTTGATTTCGCGGATAGGTTAAGGACACCCGAGAAAATGAATACAGTGTATATTTTTTTAAAGCATAGGTTTTGATGAATGTGTATTCTGCTTTTTGCATATGTATATTTCGGGTCTCAGCTGAGTTCGGCCAAAGCGGGGTCACTTACATGTACATCAGCTGTTTTGTCACTTGTCAGGTTTAAAATCAGAAAAAAAATATGTAAGGCTAAAAATATCGGAAAAGTTCATCAATATGCGGATATCTTTTCACTTTGAACTTAATTGTGTTTACTACAAATTCCTTAACATGAAAATTGCTGGGAGCAACTTCTTCATGCTAGGGAGTTGTGTAAAATTTAGTCTTTCCATAAACGTCCTACTTGGAAGTAATATACATTTAATTAATGCTATATTACGAAATAAAGCAACAGCGCACAAGCACTTCCCAGCACTTTTCAAAATAGTAGGGATAATAGCTACATGTGTTTAAAAACTCATAACTTACAGTGAAGCGGATATCGCTGAACTTTTAAGATTTTGCAGGGGCTGTGCCTGTAATTCTAGTACGTTAGTGTACAAGTGTGCCTGTAATTCTAGTACGTTAGTGTACAAGTGTGCCTGTAATTCTAGTACGTTAGTGTACAAGTGTGCCTGTAATACTAGTACGTTAGTGTACAAGTGTGACTTACTACGGCTTTATATCAGGCTTATATATAAAAGTGTGCCTTACTACGGCTTTATATCAGGCTTATATATAAAAGTGTGACTTACTACGGCTTTATATCAGGCTTATATATAAAAGTGTGTCTTACTACGGCTTTATATCAGGCTTATATATAAAAGTGTGCCTTACTACGGCTTTATATCAGGCTTATATATAAAAGTGTGCCTTACTACGGCTTTATATCAGGCTTATATATAAAAGTGTGACTTACTACGGCTTTATATCAGGCTTATATATAAAAGTGTGACTTACTACGGCTTTATATCAGGCTTATATATAAAAGTGTGACTTACTACGGCTTTATATCAGGCTTATATATAAAAGTGTGACTTACTACGGCTTTATATCAGGCTTATATATAAAAGTGTGACTTACTACGGCTTTATATCAGGCTTATATATAAAAGTGTGCCTTACTACGGCTTTATATCAGGCTTATATATAAAAGTGTGCCTTACTACGGCTTTATATCAGGCTTATATATAAAAGTGTGCCTTACTACGGCTTTATATCAGGCTTATATATAAAAGTGTGCCTTACTACGGCTTTATATCAGGCTTATATATAAAAGTGTGCCTTACTACGGCTTTATATCAGGCTTATATATAAAAGTGTGCCTTACTACGGCTTTATATCAGGCTTATATGTAAAAGTGTGCCTTACTACGGCTTTATATCAGGCTTATATATTTTCAATTTAATTAGAAAATAAAATATCGATTAATACATTGAAGAATTTGTATACATTTTGGTCAGATCACGCTTTGATTCATTTTAGTTTCCATATTTACAAGATTCCATAATAGCTTAATCCACAGCTCAAGTTCAAGCTTTCAAGCTCAAAATCTGTGTGTGGTGCTAGAGGGCGGGTGTGTGGGCGTGTGTGAGGGTGTGTGGGTGTGTGGGCGTGTGTGTGTGTGGTGTGTGCAACCATTATCTGTAGCGTGTAGAAAGTATGTCAGAAATAGGAATTGAGAGTATCTTTATATATGGCGTATATGAAATCTTTATTTATGCAATAAGTGTCTTGATAGCCCAGTAACTTACAAAATATACTTATTTCTTTTCTAATTTTAGGATCACTAAAACACCATGTCTTATCCTTCTCCAATGAATAAAAGCCTGTAAAACAGGTTGTCTATTGTTGCCACCTTGTGACATTTAATATTTTGTTTGAAATTCTACGGTATTATTAACAATGTTAAATAGTTTAACAGACACAAAACATAAATATGGGACATAAACGAATTTTGAAAAGGGAGATGATCCAAACTGAAATTTAAATGTGTCAGATGAAACATTTCGATGAATAAATGAGGAAGATATTAGTATTCATCTTCGTTTAAAATCAGTTGGGTTGGTCTTGAGAAACTCATATAATATTATTATAATTATAGAAGTTGTACATATTTTTTTGCATTTTTTAATACTACTTGTCTAATTTATATCATGAATATAAAAGCAGTCATAGAGGCTGATACAGATCGCATCTCTAAAATTTTCGATTCTAAGTTGATGGTGCAGGCCTCTAAAATTTAGGCGCTAGCTGGTCCCTTATCAAAAAAGTATTAGTCGCCAACGCAAATTTTTAGTCGCCAGGCAATTTTGTCTAAGAAAACACGACGTAAATAATTTCCTCTTTTTTAAAATTTCTTTTCTTTTTTTCAGGAAAAATGTAAAAAATTTCCGGAATTCGACGATCGCCAAGTCACTTTAAATTGGTCGCCAATTTGGCGACTTATGGAAAAATTCTAGGCGCCATGACGACTAAATTAGTCGCCAGTTAGAGCCCTGTGGTGTTGGGCAAAATAAAACATTTTTTTTATTCGACAAAAAGATGAAATCATTTTTATCATACAGCTCATTGTATCTTCTTTCATACTTAGGTGTTTTATTTGAGCATTCATATAAAATGACGTTGTAGTTATTTAACTTCCAGTTTTTCACAAACAACCAAATATTGAGGAATTGATAGATGATGTGAAAAGAAGCAAGGCTGATATCATTATTACTTGGTCACGTATCTCTGTTGAACTTCTAAAAAGTGGAAAATGTACAAACATTAAATGGTTTCAAGGCTGTAGCGCAGGCAAGTGTTGTTAAAATATTGTATATTCCTTAAAGTGAAATCATATGACATGAATGTAATACGATAGAATATATTAAACTGATATATGACTAGAAAAAAAATCTAAAAATATTATCTTATTAACATAAAACTAACCTATTGATTGCTTTAGAGTGAAATTCTTTCTTTACATAATTTCTTTGAGCATATATATACATTTTTGGTACTATATGTTTTATTTAGGATCAGAACATTTGTTTGAAGCATTTCCTAAGGTAAACCTCCAAATTCTTAAAATTAACAAACACACGACAGAATAAAATACAAACCCTGACTACTGGGTTACATAGTTGATGAATCACTTTTTTTAAAAAAAAAAAAGGAGAAGAAACAGTCAAAAAATTATATATTTATTGAAAACATCTATATTTATTCTACTGTCTATAAGGTTATTTTAACAGTCATTAATCTTTAGATAAAAGTAATAATTTTAAAAAATTCTTTTTATGTAGCAGCCACAAAACATCATTTTCACGAGACTGGGTGAAGGATTTGGCGAATATATGTCGGAATATGTGCTTGGACAAATAATTTCCAGGGAACATTTTTTCCCTCAAATGTTAGAATCTCAAAAAGCGAAGAGATGGGAAAGGTGACATTATTCTTCAATTAACAATTTCTTTTAAGGAAGATTTAGAATTTTCTACAGAATGATATAGGCGTCAGAAAGGGTATAAAAGATGAAGGTTCAAAACGAACAATCAATTTAAAAAAAAAGTAAAATACAAACAGACTCGATTGCAAACTTAGCAGACTCTGTTGCAGAACGAAAGATCACCGATGCAAAACCAACAGTCATTAACGGAATTGACGTTAGATGACGTGCAAAAACAGGCAATTCAAGTTGGGAGGCACATTAATAATAATATAATAAACATTATCAGTTTGAGTTGGGACTACCAAGCAAAAAAGTCACCCGCGTGGCACAGTGGTTATAGCGTCTGCTTTAGAGTCGCGGAGTAAGGATCAGAGTTGATCCTTACGTCGCGGATTCGAATCCCACCGTGGGACGTGGAGACTGGTCCTTCGAATGAGACCGTATAAACCGAGGTCCTGTGTCGCAGTAGGTACTGGCACGAAAAAGATCCCTCACTGCTCAATGGCCCTGAGTGCCGAGTGTAGGTCAAAATTTGCAGCTCTCCATCCGCAAGTGGTGGCATCTCCATATGAGTGATAAATTCTTGAGAGTGACGTTAAACAACACACAAACACACCAAGCGAAAAATTCCTTGACAAGCAAACAAAAAAAGGTCATCAGAATTAATTATGGACGGGGTACATCCATAAAGCAACTTTTTTTCTCTATAGTACACTATATAACGTCTTTGTTTACATTTTTTAAAGCTTAATTTGTAGATTGTAAATTTGTAATTTGCAAATTGTACAACATGTATCACAACTTTTTTATTCTATCTATCCAGCGCAAAATTCAAAACAACACTTGTTAACGCGCAATAACGTTGCATTACACTAATTCTCATAAGGTAACATGAACAATTTAATTTTTGTTTTTAATAAAATATCAAAGTGGCGGCTGGATGCACAATGAATATAGACATATTCTATAACCAACCTTTTATTCCCGTCATAACCCTTTCTAGTCGTATCTACAGACCAATTAACTCGCTGATAAATTTGTTGTCGGATGGCATAAAATTCACAACAAGCGAGTTTATTGGTCTGTAGAGACGACTAGAAAGGGTTAGGAGATGTTAGAAAAATGTCTAGAATTAGGGAATGAAAGGTTGTTGATTGACCAATGCTGGAAAGTGGCGAAATACATCCCCAAAGTGCGCAGAAAATCTTGCGCCGTAAATTGCACAAAATTTGCATTACGGGATCTGTAGCGTTATGGTCAAAAACTAAAATATAAAACCATAAGGCTACAGTTCTGCAGCTAAGTGGCGGCATGGTCGGGGTCCCCATTATTTTGTTCTTTGCACCCATTGAACAGCTACTGGATTGAAATGTCCCCATGTAAATTTATAAATGTATCAGGTTCTAAACTTCTTTGTTTTTTGCTCCACTGTCCACGTTGTACACGTATCCACTCCCTTAGATTTTCTGGAGAAAAAAAATAATCGGTACTCCGGCATTGTTTAAATATTTATTATACAACACATGCCAGCTGTAAAAGCGGGGATAGACGGTCAAAACCCTCCTCCCCCCTTCAGATAATCGCAGTTTCGTTAATCGTAAATAAGTAGCATAAAGACAAATAACTTAGGAAAAATTTAACCCTTACAAAAATATATAAAAAAAATTCCCTCCATATCAGCTATTTTTTAAAGACCTGTGTATTTAACACCCTTCCTCAAACTTTCTTCCCTCACCACTGATCTAAATTTGCTGCATTTATTATTTCTTTAAAACATTATCTATTATTTCTCTACAAAATTAATGAAAGAAAACTATTTTCGAGCTTGTTATATTTGTTAAATACCTTGGGTTACATGGATTAATCTGCAGATTTAAATTAATTGTTAAAAAAACACTTCATTAACCTAGGGGCATTTGTATTTATGTTTGATCATGGGATCAATCAAGTAGCAAGTACAAAATTCTGAGGGCTGCGAAGAAAACGACGCCCCTCTTCGACGTTTGAAAACCTTTAATCTTCCAAAATTTATTTGATATAAAGAAATGATCTTTTGTGTCAAATGCGTTTATAGATAAAAGGGGAAACACAGTAAAAACAAAATCACATATACTATTTTTTTTAATTAAAAACAATAAAATTATGTACATGTATATAATTCTACTATTTCATAAAAAGTGCATAGAAATATCTAAATAGCTACTGAACGTATGCATACATGTATATGACTTTCCATAATTAACTCGCATCTAGCGTTATTTTTTTTTAAATTTAATTAAGTTTAAGACTGTTCTTTTTTGCAAGTCAATCTAGTGTTAATTTTATTAATGACTGTTGGTTTTGCATACGTGATCTTTTTTTCAACGGAATCTTTTGATTTTGAATTGAATCTGTTGATTAATTTTAAGCTGTGCTTTGTATTTTACGAATGTCGGATAGGCTCATTTTGATAAGATAAAAAATTATTTAACTCGTTATAACAAGATAATTATACCGTTATAACGAGTTAGTCTCGTTATAATAACGGAGTTAGTTTTCTTGTTATAACGAGTATGCTACAGTGTATCTCGTTATAACGAGCTAGTTAATCTCGTTTTAACTAATTAATTTTTTGTCTTTTCGAAAATGAGCCTATCTGTCTTTCTTAGTATTTCAATATGTTTTTGCAAAGTAATTATTGGCTGTACATAATCGTAATTTTACCCCTTTTCCGGCGCCCATAGCGGTGCTACTGTGTAAATACTCAAGTATACAAGTAAGTTTTTTTTAAGTGTCTTATTAAAGATGAATCATTTCAAAATGTATTACACAAGTCACTATGAAAAATAAATCATTATTATTATTTTAGAACGGGGTTTGTCCAGAAGCGCTCGCTGTCAAAGTTGTCTATTGGGCTTTTGGGAACTGGAGCGATTGGGTCCAAAAGTGATTAAAGTTTGATATCTCTACTTAATGATCGATCAAATATTAAAACTATTTACAAATAGGAATAACGTGCAATATAAATAGAATTCTAGAATTTCATCGTCATCGAAAACAGGTTGTGACGGTACATATTGTCGTTTTGTACATATTGTCGTCGGCGACAATATGTACCTTCCCTCACTACACATATTGTCGTCCATAGGTACACATTGTCGCCGACGAGCCTTATTTTCCTCCTGCATGTGCAGTCAAGCACCAGAAAATATTATCGTCGGCGACAATATGAACAGTCAAGGTCAGCATTTATTGTCGTCAATATATTGTTTTGACGAGGTAGACAGACAGCATTCTCGCAATACTGTAGGTTGAAAACTTTTTGGTCAGAAAATTGTGCCCAAGAGTGATGTAATCGCTATGATAATTCAAGATACCGTAATTCTTGAGATATCTGATAAATTTATTTTTTCTTCTTATAAATACTTGGAGATTGAATGTATGTATTAGTTTTAATGTTCAGTAGTAATGATTATTTGGAAATTTTTTTTTTTGCTTTATTGTTAATATACATAGTCATGTGCCAATAGAATTGGTGTTGGGGCTGACATTTTTAGATCATTTGAACTGGAAGTTCAAGTGAGCTTTTCTGGTCACATTTTGTCTGACCGTCTCTCTGTCTGTAAACTTTTCAAAAATTTAGCTTCTTCTCAAAAACTACTGGGTCAATTTCAACAAAACTTGCCACAAAGCATCCGTGGATAAAGGGGATTCAAGTTTGTTCAAATAAAGGGTCATGCCCTCTTTCAATGGAAATAGTTAAGAATTAGTGAAAATTTAATGACATCTTTTAAAAATCTTTCCAGGAACCACTGTGTCAGAAAAGTTTAAACTTATGTGAAAGCTTCATTAAGAAGTGTAGATTCAGTTGTTTTTTTCTTCAGATCATGTCCCTTAGGGGAAGGGTGTGGCTACAATAGGTGATCAAAGTGTTTTACAGAATATTTCGAATTTTTTTTCAGGAACAGCTGGGTCAGAAGAGACTTATGTGAAAGCTTCATTACATAACGTACGTTCAATTTGAGGTGCTGGCACAAAAAAGACCCTTCAGTGCTCAATGACCCTCAGTACCAAGGATAGGTCTAAATTTGCAGCCCTTCACCGGCAAGTGGTGACGTCTACATATTAATGAAAAATTCTCGAGATGGACATTATAACAACAAACAAACAAAACAAAATCAATTTTGTTCAAATCATGACCCCAGGGGTAAGGTGGTTCCACAATGGGTGATCAAAGTTCTATAGATAGGAATATATACAGAAAATCTTGAAAAACCTTCTCAATTGTTTAACTTGTATACACTCTCAATTTAGTCAGCAGGTAAAATTTTATAAATAAATAATTTACTTAACAAATACAGTAACAAACCTTTGCATACAAATGACTCTTTTTTGCTTGTCAAAAAAATTCTGAGCCGCATCCCCTCCCCCCCCCTTCACCGTTCACGGTAGCTCAGTCGGTAGAGCGCTCGCTCCGTGATCGGGAGGTCGTGAGTTCGAATCTCGGCCGCGACTGACCTAAGTCGATAAAAAATGGGTAGCAACTGTTCCTTCGCCATGCGCTCGGCACTTTGAAGTGAAAGTTGCGGGTCCTTCGGATGAGACCTTAAAAACCGAGGCCCCGTGTCACGGCAGGCGTTGACACGATAAAGATCCCTCACTGCTCAAAGGCCCTGAGTGCCGAGTAAAGGTCAAAATTTGAAGCCCTTCACCGGTATATGGTGAAGTCTCTATATGAGTGAAAAATTCTCGAATGGGATGTTAAACAACATACAATCAATCAACCCCCCCCTTCCGTTCTGAAATTTCTGAATTCACCACTGAGAAACAACAGTAGGCCCGTGATTAGTGATATTTATATGGAAGCATCTTCAGAAAGCGCAGATTCAAGTATCTTCAAATCAAACCAGGCCTAAATTGGACCACAATACGCGTTCAGTTTTATAAGGAAATATATGAGAAAATTCTTTAAAAATTATCGTCTCAAACACAGTAAAGCAATTATTAGTCGTATTTTTATAGAGCATTGCCGTGTATTGTCATGCGACATGTTCTGATGGACGACAATGTGCACAGGGAGGGTAGGTACACATTATCGGCGGCGACAATATGAACAGGAAGATAAAATGTACCGCCACAATGACGCTGCATGAAATAGGATAAATAGGATACGAGACACGGCAGTGTGATTAACACACCAATTACATTCACAAAACTACCAAAAAACACCAAAAGAAATCTTTAAGCAACAATATTTGTTGGGCAACAATATGTACAGTGAGGGTGAGGCACATAATATCGCCAGCGACAATATGTACATATTTAACTTTTTCAACCGGCGACAATATGTACCGATAGACGACAATATGTGCAGTAAGGGTAGGTACATATTGTCACTGTCGACAATATGCACAAAACGACAATATGTACCGTCACACATGTTATTTTTAAAATTGCATAGATGGTCGATTGATCTAACACAGCTGAGAGACAGGTTCCGCATATATAGTTCAACACTTGGGTGGAACTGGGTATCTTTGTATAAGAAATGTTTATATGCTCTCTCTCTCTCTCTCTCTCTCTCTCTCTCTCTCTCTCTCTCTATATATATATATATATATATAAAAGTTTGCTGAACTAAATTTTTGAATTAAGCAATAAGGAGCTAGAGTATTATTTAATTGTTTTTCTTTTTCAGTTGCAGCAGTTTGTAAAGCGTTTGGTATGGTGGTTTGGGGATTGTCAAAATCTAAGAAGGAGGCATCAATTCCACATTTTGACCTTCTTATGTAATTGTTTGCAGTATTTCTTTCCATATTATTATTTAAAAAAAAAAAACAGTCATATATCTAACAGAAAAAAATCCCAATTTTTATCAAAGTTTAGTGTAAATTGAACTTCGAAATTTCTGTCTGTTTTAAATGTACACTTTTTTTTTAGATATTAAAGTATGTATTGTCCGTAACGAAAATTTACCTTTTGGCACAAAAGGACCAGCAAACATTTATGTTGTTGCTTGTTCATGTAGCTAGTTTTTATTATGGTTTGTACGAGGGTTGTTCGGAAAGTTCGTGGACTACCGTCATAACTTTTTAACTTAACGTCATATTATATCAAAATTTGGGAGAATAATTTCAACAATAAATTCAAATGATATGTATCAAACTTTTTTGAAATATCGTGGTTTATTTCAAACTTATTTAGACTTAAAAAATGCGAAAATCGGATCGCGGAGCAGGTCAAAATTTTTTAGTTTACAATCAAGACACTAAATAATGTCTAAAATCATATCTTCCGTAAAATGACACAAAAACGAAAAAAATTCTACACGTTTAAATTAAGAATTGTTTCTCGTTTCTGATTCCAAATTATGACTTAATATTTTGCTTCGTTGAAAATAAATCAGTTTCAGAAGATAGGTAATCCTCATTGAAAAAAGGCAAAAAACTTGATGTCGTAGAACGTCACGGAGCAGCAGTTAACCATACAATTTTGTGTTGTACTCTGGAAAACTCCAGAAAAAAAAATCTGAAAATGCCGGAGAAAGTAGGAAATATGTTAAAAGCGAGCCATGCATTCATGTGTAAATGGTACAAGCGGTATTTGAATGATAGACTACTCTGTTTAGACGATGATGATCTGTGAGATGGATTATCTGTAAAAATCTTATCAAAAAACATTGAAAAGTTATTAACGTCATGATGAGTTTGGCGCTTCACAGATGCTGATCTTGTGAAAGCACACTTATGCAGTGAAAAAAAAAAATAACACTGACAAACAAAATGATGCTACCCGAACAATTGTTAAAATAGATTTCAAGTTATAAAGAAACGTTTTTAATAAGTGCACTGGTATTGGGTAATACTGTGTGAAATGTATAGGGATAGTATTTTTGAGAACCTCAAGTCGGTATGTTTTTGACGTCACAGTGTTGTTGAGTTTGCTCCATGGTTACAAAACGTGTTGATTTTAAAATTAAATAACATGAATTCTATTATATCACATGTAATGAAAGTTCACACTTAAACAAAATAAATATTTTTACATATGATAATGTGCTCATTTTAAATTTCTTGAAGATAGTATAACGAAGATTGCCATAGTCCACGAACTTTCCGAACAATCCTCGTTAAAGAAGCTGAAGATTAACAAATTCAAAACATCATATATGGATTTCAATTCTAAAACTGAATTAAACAATAATGTTTTATGTATATGTGTTCTTAAAACCTTAGGGAGAAGAACGAACTCTCAAAATTCCTTGCAGGCTGTGACTACGTTTGCAGCGTTCTACCAAGCACACCAGATACTAAAGGGATGCTGTCTGGAAATATTCTACAAGCATGCCAGGACAAGGTACCCTATTGTATGATATAATTTTTTAACAAATAAATAACACAAACAAATTGTTATAGAGTTTGTGCCTCGGAATGCATTTGAACCCGGGACCTCTCTTAAGTCGGTCCTGTGCTTTATCAATCGAATTAAAAAGATTATCCAAGTTAGTAGGAAGGCATGTATATCTTACACAACCACAATGTTTTCCCCTCATTTTGAAGAGTTACATTTTACTCATTTTTACATATTTCTACAAATAAGGACATTTTAGAAAACCTATATAGAGTAGAGTGCTGTAAATCCCTAAATTTTCGCATCACTTTATTTTCGCAAGATTGCTGTAGGTACTCATAGAGAAACAATATTTTCACGAAATTTGGTTTTTCCTCTCTAGAATCTTTAATAGAAGAGTGAAATTTTCGCAAGCAGACAGTTTTGCCGAATGACGCGTAAATAAAGTTTTTGCGAAAAAAGTGATAAATTTCTCTCGCAAATAAAATAGTGATTCACAGTATTCAGTAAGAACGATTTGCTCTACTTGACATAATTCAGTTTGCTTTTTTCTTTTTTTTAACACATTTTGCATATTTCTTCACATATTTTAGCCGTGACAGCAATATTTGAAAACACAGAAGTTTAGTTTGTTTGTGTTATTTATCTTTAATGACATTTGTACATCTATGAATTGTTTTAGTTTACAAGATATGTTAATGATATTGTAGTGAGTAATTGAATGGTTGTGTGTTATTTAACTTCCTATTCGAGAGTTTTCCTTCATACAGAGGTCACCATATACCGGTGAAGGGCTTCAAATTTAACCCTATGCTCGGCACTCAGAGCCATTGAACAGTGAGGGTTCTTTATCGTGCCAATACATACCTTAACACGGGAGTCCGTTTTGGAAGACCTAACCCGAAAGACCCGTGACATTCAAGTCTATCTCCGGGAGCTTGGAACAGACACTATCTATGTTTACATTTTAGGTTTGACGCATGATAAAGAATTCTCACTGCTCAATGGCTGTGAGTGCCGAGCATAGGTCTAAATGTGAAGCCCTTCACCGATATATGGTGACTTCTCTATATCAAACCCGGGCCTCTCGATCCATAAACGAACGCCTTTTTTAAATCATATCTTTTATTGATCAATCTTACAAATAATACAATGCATATATATTACATGTACAATCAATATCCACCATATGTAGTAAATACATCATTTGATAAAAGAATTAAAAATAAACATTAAGGTTCCTTCTGTTTCATTCAAAATTGGAATTTTTCTCATGTTATATTTGCATACTCTCTGTTATCTCCCCCTATGAAACTCTTATCGCATTTCATTCCCCTTCAAAACAAATGCCATACCACTAGGCTACTATGACCACTAAATTACAGTGAGAAAGAAATTCAGAATACTACACCATTGATTTTTGTAATCTACAATTGCACCCTTCGTAAAAGATAAACAAACAGTATGTTTTATGTTTATAAAAACTGGATCTTATAACTTATTTAATGATTCCAGAGAAATATTCTTAACATTTAGTTTTTTTTTCCCCTTATTTACAGAGATCTGTGTTCATTAATATAGGACGGGGTGATGTCATTGATGAATCGTCTTTACTGAACGCCTTGAAGTAAGTTGTGAGAAGTTTTATGACATTCTCCAAAGACTATATCGTTGCAAATTTTAAAAGAAGAGAGCAGTTGATTATCAAACAAATCAGAATCTGATTTCTTATATCAGAGATATTCTCGCTAACAACGGTTTTCTTTAAACCCCCATCACACCAAATTCGTTACTGAAACGTCCTATTCCGTCCTATGATATCATAAAGCGGATTGTGGTCGGGGTTGAATGTGTAAAGTCACAGGCACATATTCCCAATTTAAGTTGCAATCATCCACGACTATGCTTGTTTGTTTGTATGTTGTTTAACGTCCCTCTCGAGAATTTTTCACTCATATGGAGACGCCATCACTTGCCGGTGGAGAGCTGCAAATTTTGTCCTATACTCGGCACTTACGGCCAATGAGCAGTGAGGGATCTTTTTCGTGCCAGCACCTACTGCGACACGGGACCTCGGTTTATACGGTTTCATCCGAAGGACCGGTCTCCACTTCTCACAGTGGGATTCGAACCTTTGACGTAAGGATCAACTCCTTACTCCGCGACTCTAGAGCAGACGCTCTAACCACTGCTCCACGCGGGCGACTCCACGACTATGTACTGTTTCATAAATAGAGTAACTTGGCGGTAAAAATTGAGTTGGCGATCCATTCTACCGATGAGACCACAATCATTAATAATTAGGTACTGTAATGGTTTGACAGAATGATGTAAAAATATAACCTTCTATAAAGTTTCATATTGACTTCTATTCTATATTCTATTCTATACACGCTTATAAGGTAAAATGATGTTCTTCTAGGAATACAGTACAATCATTCAAGGGTTGTTTTAAGTTCCCTTGTCCGAAAGTACTGCAGACGGATTGGACTAAGTAAGTACTACTTAAGACGATAGACACGTACTCATGACATTGTATAACTTACCTAGAACTTAATGAGAACTTTAGAACCATTTAGAAATGTGTTGTTCATTCATTCAAAAGTTGTAATTTGGTTTGGAACTTAAATGGGAAAAATTACGGTCGAATTGTGTCTGTTTTCATCGGGAGTAAACCGACCCTGACGATCTATAAACTGACCAGGTTAGACTGCTCAAGTCACATTCAACACATTTCTAGTAAAGCTTTAGGTCATACTGTTACGGTAGTAGTCACGGATTGCAACATATCATCCCTATTTAATCGTGATGCTAATACAATTTCTGGAGAAAGAGCGTTTTTTTTATAGATTATAGTACAGTTTATCAAAGCTTCAACAGGAGACTGTAACGGAGAAGCATGGTTTCCCCTGGTAATACCGTATAATGCACCAGTGATTGCCAACCTACGGTTACGATCAATCAAGATAATGCTACAACTCCTTAATGAGAACTTTTAGAACCATTTAGAAATGTGTTGTTCATTCATTCAAAAGTTGTAATTTGGTTTGTCATGAGAAACTTCGAAAATATACATAAATGAGTTGTAATTGTCTCAAGTTCAAGCAAGAATACATAAATCAGTATTAACTCAGGAGGAATACATTCTTAAAACAGTTTTAAGATAGATCGGAGGTTTAGTGTCTGTCTGAAAACAATCATTGAAAAATTGTTAGCTAATTCCATTTGCTTCAGAATTTTTATTCTTTTTTTTTCTTTTTCTTTTTTTTTTTTTTTTTTTTTTTTTTTGGTATTCATCTGTGTGGTTAATTTGTAATTGTATTTAAAATTCACTGATGTTGATGAGAACAATTTTTTGACGCTATTTCAATGAAATATATAGTAAAATGAGCCTTTCACGCCTTTAAACGTACTTCAAAACCATACTCATAATTTTAAAATGAAGCAGACAAATTTTAAGTTACTCAACTCAATGAATGTTAAGTTAATTAAGAATCAATCTATAGCAAGAAATTAAAACATGTATGTGTTCTAGCCCAATTTCTTACAAAATAAACTTTAAATTCTTATAATTTCCAATCAAATGCATTATATTTTCATTACAACGTTATATTATACGTCATTATTTTCGTATGACTGCGTGACTAATAAAAATATGAATAACTCAACAATTCACTCAAAATAACGCATACAATCTTAATCCCTAAAGTCAATTTTTATTGATTGACGATAATGTTCTTGTAAAAGTTGCAATAAAGTGGCACTATTTCAATAAAATATAGGAAAGAAGTCATATGACTTTTTTTTCTTTCAATAAACTGAAGCAATGCGGGAAATGTAGAACAAATCTACATGTATATAGGAAATAAATATTTTATCGAATTTGATTGCATTTGAAAATCTATTTTAAATTATTGTTATCTATAGCAAAATGTGCCAGAGTTAAAATCGTAAATGTTAAAACAAATACAATGTCTCTATGAATCACAAGTTATATGATTAAAGGTAGCATAATAATCGTGGATTCTCATAAACGTATATCATAGAACGAAATGACTTGTCAATCACAGAATCAAGAGACGTCCTTCATTTTTAATTACATACATTTAATTATAAATAGATATCTTTACAGACCACAGAGGCTTTATTGTAAAGATGTATTTCATTTTATACTGCTAAAGATATTTTTGAATGTTTGAAGCTTGATACTGTAAACGCGATAAGCTTTCTACGTCGAATCGTATTGTGCAATAGGATTTATTATTCAGCAAACCCGCGAGCTACGTTAAGTTTAATTCCAAGATCTTCAATGTTGAATTCACCAATCACGCGGGTAGGTTAAGACTTCCCTAAAAATATCATAGTAATCCTTTGCAGTCACTTCCCTGAACTACCAAGATATGACGTCAGGTCATTGCAAACTTGAGCTGTCATGACGGGGAGAGTGTCATAAAGTTCATGTCTATATTTCAAACAACATGCAAAGTGTTAGACCTTTTTGCAAAATTCACGTGTCTTAATTGTACTATTTAATTATCATTGACTATTAAAAAGGTTACCTTGATTAATTTCTCTAGAATAAAATTAATTGTATTCAATACGATCTTGCAAAAACTTAACTTTGAAACGCCCCTGTTTGCAGATAGAATCTAATATATAATATGTGTGTTAAAACTTTAAATATTTTTTTGAAAATTCAAAAGATTAGAATGTTCTCAAAATGCATCTTGCTTGAGGTGGAAGAAGATGCCTTTGATATAAATGTGTGGGAAGTATAAATACTCATAAAATATTTCATATAAATAGCAGAGCGCTTGCTGCAGAGTCGCGGACTAAGGAGTTGGTCCTTATGTCGCGGGTTTGATTCCCACTGAGGGACGTCGAGACCGGTCCTTCGGATAAGACCGTATAAACCAAGGTCCCGTGTCGCAGTAGGTGCTGACCAGGGATGGGCACGATTACTGAAAAATATAATCGATTAATAATCGATTACTTAGAGGAATTTTGTGTAATCGATTATTAATCGATTACACTCATTTTTGTCCTGTAATCGATTGTAATCGATTACTTTGGAAGATGTAATCGATTGATAATCGATTACTTCCAAGTTTTTATCCCTTCAAATATCAAAGCAATATTTAAATGGTAAATGTTGATGTTATCCACTGAAGTTTGAATGTATTCCAGCAGTTTCAGTGCAGATTCTTTTAAGGTTTTATTCTGGCTAACATTCTCACTAAATGCCCAAATGAGGGATTTTCTACCATGGAAAGTGGAGACATGATTCCTACAATAAAATATGCCAAGGAATTAATTATTCCTTTCAACCTTAGATCTGTACCTCCATATTTATTGACTTGTTGAAAAAATTATTTAATATTTTATTGTGAATTACTTCATTAGAAGTATTTGGGTTGTCCGTATGTTGACAGTACACATTAAACATTCCTGTATGTGTCTTTTTAAAAAAAAAATAAGTAAATTAGAACAAACTCTTAGTAATTAACATGTAAATTAAATGTGTCTTTAAGTAACTTAACTAATACATGTAACACAGTTTCATTCTGTATTGAAATAAGTGTTTTGAGAGCTATTAATTCTTTTAATATTATTTTTTGTCTTCAATGGAATGATAGTTAAACACAAAGTAGTTCACAGTTTACACCTCATTATCTGCAATCAGGGATATGTCTCAGTCAATTAATTAGCCAATTAAGATAAGCAAACACAGTGACACTTACACCCTCTCTTACAGGCACTTATAACCCCTCACTGATATAAAAGCAACCTTACAATTTTGAATGAAAACATGAGAATGATTTTGCAAATTTTTAAAGTTACTAAAACACAAGTTTGAAGTTGTTTAAACATTTTCAGATGTGAATAAATATTTCCATCTTTTTTTTTTTGAGTACTTAACTATGTAGTTTATTTAGAAAATTATTTATATTTAATACAGCACTTAAATCTGTTTTTGCTATTTATAATTTTCTATTACAAGACAAAGTTTTTCAACATCTGAAATATGAAAAAGGACATGCAGCAATAGGACAGTGGGTCAAATGTAAAATGCACACGAAAAATCTGTACCGGGGTATATTTTATTAATAAATGGTTGATGAAATACACTTCTGAACTATTTAATACTAGACCAGTAGGTCTATATGCAAATTTTATTGAGAACATTATTAGACTTATGATAAGAAAAGTTAGGAAATCCAAACATTACACTAGGTGGTTTATATTTGATATTTATGTGTGATTGACTGGAATTAATTCTCCAAAATAACATCCATTTATGTATAAAATAATCGAAAGTTATCATAAAAGTAATTATTATTACATTGAAAATTTTAGCTGTAATTGATTAAATTACGATTACAAGTAATCGAAAATCTCTTCGATTACAGATTACTGTCAATTACTTGAAAAACAGTAATCATTACAATCGATTACGATTACTCGATTACGATTACCCCATCCCTGGTGCTGACACAAAAAAGATTCCTTACTGCATAATGGCCCTAAGTGCCGAGTATAGGTCAAACCGCCGGCAAGTGGTGACTTCTCCATATGAGTGAAAAAATTCTCGAAGGGACCTTAAACAACTAAACATACACTTATTGTCCGCGTGCCGCAGTGGTTAGAGCGTTTGCCCTAGAGTCGTGAGGTAAGGAGTTGATCCGTACTTTGCGGCTTCGATTCCCATTTCAGGACAGAGAGACCGGTTCTTCGGATGAGACCGCATAAACCAAGGTTTCATGGCGCAGTAAGTGCTGGCACGAAAAAGACCCCTCACTGCTCTAATACCAACTCTAAATTTGCAGCCTTCCACCGGCAAGTGGTGGCGTCTCCATATGAGTGAAACAATTCTCGAGAGGGACGTTAAACAACAAAACATACACTTATAGTAGTCCGAGTGGCGCAGTTGTTAGAGCGTTTGCCCTAAAAGTCGTGGAGTAAGGAGTTGATCCTTACTTTGCGTGCTCAAATCCCACTGCGGGACGTGGAGACCGGTCTTTCGGGTGAGACTGCATAAACCGAGGTGCCGTGTCGCAGTAGGTGCTGGCAAAAAAAAAAAAAAAAAAAGATTCCTCACTGCTCAATGCCCCTGAGTGCTGTGTATATGTCAAAATTTGCAGTCTTCCACCGGCAAGTGGTGGCTTCTCCATATGAGAGAAAAAATCTCTAGAGTGACGATAAACGACAAACAAACAAATTATACACTTATAATACTATGACACTTCCAAAACATGTTTCACTGCATTTTCTCCATTTGTACATCGTTTGAATCCGTTGGACAACATTTTTTGTACAAAGTAAGAACTAGTTCCATATGATGGAATCTCTAAATAAGAGAAATTCGGATACCGTTATCATAAACTTTTAATCTTTATTTATAGAAAAGCTAAAATTATATTTTATTTGAAATGTTGCATTACTTCAAAGCAATGGTTGGATAGGAGGGGCCATCCTAGATACAACAGACAAGGAACCACTACCTCCTGAGAGTGAATTGTGGTCACATCCGAACGTAACGATAACTCCTCATATAGCGGGACCTCCTTCAACAGACACTGTACATAAGCATATAAGTAGACATTCATTATTTTTAAATATATATATACATCTTCAAATATCTTTTTTTTTTGCGCCCCCCCCCCCCCCAAAAAAAAAAAAAAAAAAATATTCAGGGATTGCAGTATTTCGATGTTTGTATAAAATAATTATTTGTTCGTTTATCAGAGAATATTTCTCTTTCATTTAAATTATTTTTTAATGAAAGCTATTGGTAACATTATAAACGTAACTACACTGTACATATGTTTTTTTTTTTTTTTTTGTTTCAAAGCCTCATACTATAGTTGAAATTCTATACTTTATTTCTTCAATTTCCTTTACCCTTTCTTTCAGATTGCAAAAGTATTTGTTTCAAATTACAACAAGTTTATCCGTGGACAGCCATTGGATTACCTCCTTGACTTTGAGCGTGGATATTAGACAGATTAAAGGCCACTTTTCATGAAATGGACAAAATTAATCATGGTTTGAAACACAACCAATAATAAAGCAGCATAATTAAATTTACATTTCAAATAATTTACCGCTATCTGTTCATTACGAAGCAATACATTTATCAATATTTTGGAAAAGGGACATTCCATAGCATGATATATGTATACAGTATACCATATTATGATTAATTTACAATGGAGGAAAATATAAATGATATAAGCAGTTTTTCTTAGTTAGTATATTTATGAAGGATTGGTTCCTCACATTAATTGTAAAAATCAGTGATATTATCACAGATTCACGAAGACACTAACATCACCAAGTGATGGTATAAATAAATTAAATTAGACAGTCTTTTTTAGGAATAAATTCAGGTTAAGGTCATTATCTTATTCCTTGACATTACGAATAAAAAGAAATACTGTTGCCTGCCATATGGTGCCTACTTCTATTTCAAAAGTTTAAATGTCTTATTTTTTCCTTAAAAATGATACCCCATAGAATCTAGCAGATGATACTACCAACCTCAAATAAACAAGATAGTGGCTAATCAAATTTCCTCTATTAATGACTAAGGATTATATATATATATATATATATATATTTTATACACATTATTTTGAATAGTCATATAAAGAAAATCAACCTCGTGGCGCTGTGGTAGCGTTTGCTCTAGTGTCGCAAAGTAAGGAATTGATCCTTACGTCGCGGATTTGAATCCATTGAGCGACGCTGAAGTCTGTCCTTCGGATAGCATCGTATAAGCCGATGTCCCGTGTCACAAAAAAGATCCCTAAGTACCGAGTACATTTCTTAATTTTCAGCCCTCCACCAAGAGTGGTGGCGTCTCAATATGAGTGAAAAACTCTCCAAGGGGCGTTAAACAAACAAACCTATACGGAAACCAAAAGATAAAAAAAGTTTTAATCCCCGTAACATATACTTCGCTATTCGTATGAATCCGAAATGACAAGACTTAGTTTATGTTGTGTTTTCCTTGTTTGAATTTATTTCTAGGTCCTGAAATAATTCTTTAAAAAAGATATTTAAGAAATCTTTATCAAGTTCCAGTCATATAGCTTGCTATGATGTCATATTGGAAAGGCAAATAGAATATCTGGGTGTAGCCATAACATATCCGAAGAAAAATCCACACAGTCTCCCACATATGTTTCATATTTCGATGATTGACTATAGACGGTAAGACGCGAACTAATAACTAAACTGTATGACAAAGGAGTTTGGTAAACTTCCGTGATTTCAAATTTTCTAAAAGTTCCTTGAAGTTTCTAAGTATCCACGTCTGATTTACACCACTTCTCTCGAATATACTGTTGTACAGTACTTCTGCTGTAAATATTTTAGAGAGTTGTAAAAAAAGAGGGTTGGTAGAACATTTACTGGAACCCACTATGTATCTTTGTTTGTAAGGATTTTTATGGAGTTTTGAATCCTATATAATTATGATAACTGAAATTCATTTTGATTGTTGGGAATATTAAAGATATTTAATACTGACATATGATTTTGAAGAATTTATTCCTTAGAAAGAAGCTATGGCATACGTTGGATAACCACTTGCATATTTTAAATCCTAGTTCCTCTAAAATACAATTCAAATGATAAGCCTTACAAAGACAATGTTGGTACCTGCTTTGTCAGCGGGTACCGGTACATACTGAACCTATCTAATTCTTGTTTCATTTTCGCGTTGATTAAGAATATTACTTATATTTACTGCGTTAATTCCTTTGTTAGAAAATTAAAGTTAAAGGAACAAATGAGTTGGTTGAGTGGCATTTTCTTCCACAAAACGTGGCGGTTTAAAGAGACTATGAATTGTAATATCCATAATCACAGATCCGGGCCTGTATTCTGGTGCCGAAGAATCCAAATATGGACTTTCCTTGACTTTAACAAGTAGACTCTTCAAAATTTCCAAAGGGACAGAATAAAGTTTGGTGAGAATGTGATGAAGGGTTTACTGTTTATTTACATAAGGTAGTTGTGAATCAAAGGAGACATCGTGAATAATAGGTTTATTGTAAGAGCGATGTCCAACGTTTACGTACGTCTCTGTATACTGTTAAAAAGTCCATCACATTCACATTGCTACACTGTTGGCTTGAAAGATTCCCAACACTATTGACATTGTCATTGCTATTATATGGAAAAGCCGTGCCTAGTTTTGTTATCCATTATTCCTTTCGACTCGTTGTCGACGGAAAGCCGTACTCATTGATGGGCTATTTGTATAATGGTAAATCTTTTCTAGAATTCTTACTTTGATTGACAAAATAGAATGATCAGGTAAATTAAAATGCTTAAAAAATTGCTGCAAGCCCCCGTTGTTAATTTGAAATCTATGTCCCGATATTCTTTTATTAAGTGAACCCTTAGTTTCACCAACATAACTAAGCCCAAGAAGGGTACATTCAATTCCGTAGGGAATATCAGAAGATTTGCGATTTAGATTTTCCAAGTTTTGGCACAGAAGCATATTTTTGTTAATACAATGTCTGTGTTTATATTAAGACTCTGCTTAATCGCAGTTAACAGAATTACAAAAACAAAACAAAACAAAACAAAACAAAACAAAACAAAAACAAAACAAAAAAACTGCACCATTGGTTTTTCTGAGTACATTCTGGGTACATTCAATTCCGTAGACAACAACAGAAGATTTGCGATTTAGATTTTCCAAGTTTTGGTATAGAAGCATGTTTTTGACAATACAATGTCTGTGTTTAGGCACTTCTTAATCGCGGTTAATAGAATTTTCAAAAGAAATATACCTTTGATTTTTCTGAGTACATACAAACTTATTGTTCAAATTAGTGCCGACATGGAATCAATATCAGGATTAATTTTTGAAGCCTCCTTCGCTGCATCGGAATTTAACATTCATGTGAATTACTGTTCTCAGCAGTAATTATTATGAACCCTGCATACTTGTTTCAGTCTACTGCTTTCTGGGCATGTAAATTATGTTCATCTTTCAAATTATGCCTTCATAACTTTTGTCACCTTAAAGTGTGTGGATGACCCCTATCTCCTTTATATATCTGTTGATCTTTATCATTTCTATTTACCAAGTAAAAATATCTTCATATCTAGTTCATGCAATCATTATGCTGCAGCAATCGACACATATCATAAGTCAAATTTTCATGAGACGAATTTAACTTTAGATATCGATGTCCTTTATATTTTTATCATAATATTATTGCATTGATAACGTTCAGTATGGAAATGATTCGTCAAAAGTATCGCATTCGTCTAATTTAAGAGTACCTCCGTGACTCTGAATAATCAAATAATGAATATCAACGCATTTGTTAACAGATACGGGTTTCCATTGTTATAGTAAGATTAGGAATTTTTTAAACAGCATATACGATATATCATTTACATTGTCTATGACAAATTACAAAATTAAAATGAATAAGGATCTACATTCAGAGACTAACAAGCATACCGTTTGTATTGCATCGCCATTTTCGAGGCTGCCACAACTAATACAGGAGCAAATACCTTCCCTTAATGTTGTAAACATTCCACTATCAGGAGGTTTGTATCGTTTATTTTTATTTTTACTTTAAAATTACTAATATACTGTTTGCCCTTTATTGTGATCACCTGAATAGAGATCGGTTTTTGGAAAACTGATTTTGTTTCCTTATAAGGATGTCAAAAAGTTACGAACATTTCAATCAAGCAAAATCTATTTCATTGCGAAAAATACATTGAGAAGTTTTTACCTTAAAGGAGTACAAAGAACATATGTAGTTTTTCGAAGTCGCATTAATAAGTATTTGGTTAATAATCCCAGTAAGCAGTAACATAGTATATACCTTTTCAAAATGTCTGAAATGAACAGCATTCTGGAAAGACTCAGTTGGGAGAATCCTCTCTGCCTTTTGAAGTGCAGGGCATTTCTCTTGATATTGTGCGTTTTTCATCAGCCCAAGAAATGAAGTCATCGGGAATTAGAACCATATCTAACTTTTGAGCTTGAATACTGTTCGTTATCTCCGTATACCAATTGAATATGTAAAAGAAAAGTAAAGGCATGCAGGCACTGTAATTGCATCTGCTTCTCTTGCTTGTTTTCATGGCGTGTTCTTTGAAAATAAAGCTGCACCCACCGCACTTTGTACAGCGGACGTTTCGAAACATTAATTACTTATCGTTAAAACCCTCACATCTTGCAAATAATTCCTAATTTATGATTTTTAAAACACTTTTCCAAACTTTGCTTGTACGTGCCCGAAAATAAGTGCAAATTGTAAAACACGATTCAAAACGACAAATTCCGGCCATTCAGACAATTATAAATTCTAAAGGCTTTCCGGGAAATCTATTATAACTTCAATTGTCTCAAAACTATTTTTACCTTTAGAAGTCTGTGTCACATCAATGACCTCTAAATTTTTTCTTGTGTAAAATTTCCACAGGATCAGATATATTTTATATGGTACAGAACTCTGTAATTTTGTTCGCTATGTCCGGAACAGTTTCTTCATGCATCACCTCGAAATCAGTCATAGAGGGAGTTGCAGATTCATACATAGACGGTGGTGTTGCATCAAACATAGTGGGGGCCTCAGTATTGTGCTAATATATACACCTCCTGTCCTCAAAAAAAAAAAAAAAAAAAAAAAAAAAACAACAACCTACAGTTACATTAGTTTCTTGCTGTGGAGTGTAAGAATGTATATTAATATCTTGTGGTAGTATTTGAGTTGCATGCTCTGCATTCATATCTTGGTCTTGGTGACAATTTTCTGTCTGTTTTCTAAGATCTTTTAAAGGCATATACTCTCCACATGTCTTGCATTGTTCCTATTTAGAAGTGATTTTTGGAGACTGCTCACACACTTGCACTGTTGACAGATCTTTTTGACGTATATATATTTGGTTGATTGTGGGTTTACATTCTTCTGTAGCTCTAGAGCTGATGACCACTTGCAATTTGTATGGTTACCTCACGACAGCATTGGGTACGTTTTTGGAATTCAAAACCGCCTCCCTCCCCTAATTTTGGAAATCCTTCACTCTCCAAATTCACTGGTCTTAATTAAAATAAGCTTCTCTTAAACTTTCTTTTCACCGTCAGATTTTTAAAGAGATTTTTTTAGCCAATCTTGCTTTAAGATTCTCTTTTAAGTGGGATTGGGGAGTTATTTTTGACTCCTAGATGCTAAACATAAACACTGCAAGGT